AGACTATAGCTCACATGAGCTAGAGGCTAGACTCCTAGTATCCCCCTTAATCACCCCTATAGTAGTCCCCTATGTAATCCCCTATAAAACCCCCTGTAAGGAGTTTGGAGTATAGCTCACATGAGTCCGCCGTCAGGGATCAACCAGGCACCCGGCCTCCTTTCTCGAATCTAAATTCCAGCTTCAGAAGCGTTTGAGGCTTCAGGCCAGCACCTTGGGAGTGACGGAGGGTTGATTGTGAGGTAATGGGAGTTTCCCAAAATTAGGGGTACCATTTTGGGGGTCCCAATAATAAAGACTATAGTATTTTGGGGTCTATATTGGGGTGCCCTTATTTTAGGGTCCTTCCATACCCATCCGCTGAAGTCAAATTGGCAGTCAAGACGCTGAGCTCCTTTCGCGGAGTAACTAGACGACCGGCTGACCTGCCAACACTGACGCTGCCAGGGGTGCACTTTCAAGGACATGGCTAGTTTGCCCCGCAAGGGATCTGCGTGCCAAGCTCCAAACCCAAGGCAAAACTGTGGCTGTCTTACAGAAAGCAGCTTCAAAACAGACTGGTAGTGTCTCATAGTTGGTGCCACAACAGTGTTGGCACTACCATGTGCTCTTACACCATGAGCTTTGAGCTTAGTTTTTACTCAATTGGGCGTCCAGCCTTGGTCGAGTCAGCGTTTTCAGACCGTTGAGCGATGCTGTCTTCAACTCAGTGGTTCCGACCCTTGGCCAGCAGGGGCAGTAGGAAAACCCTCCTTTCCGGCAGCCCCCTATGCATTGGCAGCATAGAGCTGAATGTCTGATTTTGCGTGCTCAATGCAAAAACAGAGCACAGCCTGAGTCCAAAGCAACGCGGGATGGGAGCCTCCCAAAATCAGCGAGGCTGCTGAGCGAGAAGCTCGCATGACTCCTGTTGCAGGCCCGCACCAGGCAGGTTCAATGCTTTCCTTTGAAATCACTTCCTGTGAGCTTTACAGTTCGTACGCTGGCTGATGCCGTGCTCAGTCCTGAAGATGTCCAGCGCACCTCAAAATCCTCACCACCTCAAGTGACATGCGTTGAGGTTTTACAGTTTGGCCAAACAGCCGGACAGTGGCCCTAGACCAAGTACAGTGCATGGGGAATCGCTTCCACCACTGTCACCCAGGGCGTCCCTACGAGACTCCCTTCTTAGCCCTGCGGCTGCGAGTCAAGCCTGGATAGTTTGGCATGGTTGGCCATGAATTGGCTACTGCTGGCATGGCCGCATGATGCCGCATGTAGTCGGCCATCAGTTGATGTTAGTTGCAGGTGGTCAACTCTCCCTGCCCCAACTCATGTAGTGATCCTTTGCATGTGCAGTTCTCCTGCACTCAGAATCAGAACGTCTTGCAGTGACCGCTATAAAGAGTCTTCTGCCCACCAACACGCAGAAACGTTCGGCTGTGAGGTGATCACCGCTTCTTGCTGACCAAGTGAGTGGCTCTGACATGCGGGCTCTTGCTGTGCATCTGAAACCGTGAAACCGAACCAGCCGCAAGGGGGCGAAAACGATGTTACTTTCGTTCTGGGTACTAATCGCTTCTCCATGACTACTGTACTACATTCCCCTGTAACGGCTATATTACACAGACACCGCCGCATCATCCTTGCTACCAGGGCCGCCTCCTTCGCCCGATTTCTGAACAGTACCAAGAAAGCATGGCAGTTTGCTTTGCCAGCTTAAGCTGGCATTGATCCACTTTTTGTTCACTTCTCCAATGATCTGCAATGTGTTTCAGGTGTGTGAGACATCTAAAAGGCAAGTCTGTCGATGGAAGATCTATGGCATTGACTATGCTTGAATCACACAGTCTCAGTTGCATAGGATCTTCTGCATCAACAGTATTAAGCACTTGGCCTGATTGGCCTTTGACATGCTCCGCAGCCATCATAGGAAATGCATCGCAAGAACGATGGCGCAAGGCAAGGGTTTCCCCTCCAGCTTCTGACGCATGCATGGTCCTAACTAGCTCTGGATTGCTTTTCAAGCACTTAAAGGTCGTAAAGATTCATGCATCTACGAGAATGAACCATGACACATGACTGGTCTCAACATCACCAGCATGAACATCAGCGACACCACATGCGCAATGTCACACGAAGCTGCATAGCAGCAAGTTGAAAGGTTGACAACTTTGGACACGTGTAGCGACACCTGCGTGCATTTGGGTCCATATGGCCGTTGCAGAGGTGAAGAACCGTAAGTAACCATCCCATCACAACTGCCAGTGCTTGACATGACCCCCTTTGTCAATGAAGCGCAACTTGCCTGTGCCGGGCAACCTGCATGAGATTAGGAAGTGGACAATCCAGTCAGGATTGGCTTCATCACCCAAATGCAGGAAGGTGATCTTCACGAAAGAGGGTCCGGCGTAGCTGAGAGGACCGCAACTGCCTGTCTAAGAAGATTAAAGTGTGCCTTGCAACCTCACGGCAAGTTGTCGTGTCCCGGAAGCTAGCGCCCAGACAGGAACTGCAATCATGACATCATCTGAAATCTGTCACAGTTCCCTTTAAACTGCGATGCTGTTTTGCAAAGCGGGCTCATGACCTGGATTGTTGGGATCACCCGTAGCCACGCCGCTGTGGTCCACAGCGGCTACAGCAACTTAACAGCTGCTGGACGGCACGGATTGATTGATGAGAAGGCGTTCGCCGCTGTCAACAGCAAACGTCCCCTCAAGTGAGCAGCCAGCCGTTCTCAACGGCGAATGCCACCAAAGCTGCTCATGTTATAGCGCGCCTTTCAACTCGAGTGCCAAACAACAGCAGAATGAACAGTACGAAGTAAACCACTCCATCTTGAAGCACGACAGCTCACTGCAAACACCGCAACCGGCCTGCTCCATACGTTGAAGCATGTCCCCACATCTCTGTATGTTGCGAAGATTTGGTGGCTCCAGGCCGAGAGCCTGGCGGGTGCAATAAACCGCATCCCGATCTCTTGCACCAAAGAACTGCTGATGCTGGAGATTGCTGAATCTGCTGGTCAATCTTCCAGTTGTTGATTGCTGCCAGCAATTGCCGAAAAGGGATTGCACCGGTCCAAGAGCCAACCTCTGCTAGACAACTGCAAAATCGAAGGGCTGGCCCCTTGGATTCCTCAAAAACTCCTACCCAGCCTGCCCCCCCCCCCAAATGACACGCGTTTTCTGACACCCAGGATTCTGGTTGTTTTTTTGTTGCTGCCTGCGCCCCCCCTNNGGCCTCCTTGCCAGCCCGGCTGCCAAGGCGGACGCGCGCTAGCGCATAAATTAACAGATTGAAGTAATGGATGCATCAGCAGCCACTGCTGCCATGTCAATCGGGGTCAACTTTCAAGCGCCGCAGAGCCTGCCTGAATGGTGAGCATGCGTTGACGTCTCTGCTCTTGCGTCTGCCCGTCAGATGACGACAGCACTGGCCGTAGTGTTTGAAATGATGATTGCAGCCTCTCCTTGGGATAGTCCTCCGAGGCTCGAAGCAGGGACTGCCCTCACCACTGGCTCGGCGCAACACCCTGTCCTGAAAAGTACTTCCCATCGCCAAGATCCTAAGGATTCTTGGCTCAGCTGCAAGTTTGGAAATGGAACGAACCTTCCTTTCAACTCACCTTGAGCCGATGATTCGTAAGGCAAAGCTATGCCTGCTACTTGCATCAGCGGAACTTGAACCGCATGAACACTTTTACTGCAGTGTTTTGGCAGTTGTGGCCAAACATTCGTTCGAATTAGGCGTGCAACGCTCTCAGAAAGCCTGGTCAGGTTGGAGCTGTGCCAACAGCTCAAGCTTCGCATCTGCAATTCCTGGCGATCTCCTGCTAGCAGCAGCAACCTTTCTGCTCCATCTAGTAACACAAATCATGGAAAATCATGGTACCTACTGAATGATTTGAGGTATAGGGTTCAGGGATGTTGACCCAAATAATGGACATCAAGTGGAAAAGAAAATGGCACTTTCCGTTCCGCACTCGGCTTATGCTGATGAGCAATTATCTTGGCAACGAGTGGGAACTCATGCAACAAACGCTGCAAGAAAGGGCTTCAAGGCTCCATAGACAGGTACAAAGCAGTTTCTGCAAAAGCAATGCGACTGCTACAATCCTTTTGTGATCCCTACAAACTCTCCGTTTCCATTCCATCGTCCATGTTGTCCATCTGAGTTTCCCTTGTTTGGAGCAGTATTGGCAAGTTTTTCCTCCTCACCCAAAAAGACATATGGGGATTGTCAAAATTATGGTCCCTTTTTGGGTCCCCTAAATTAGGCCCCGTATTAGGCCCCGTATTATAATAGGGACCCGGGACCATAATTTTGACAATCCCCCATGTAATGTATTATAAGGTCTCTTATATTAGCGGTTGAGCGGCGCTTTTGACATTGATATGAGCAGACTAAATGGCTGCAGGGGTACTTATTCAGCCCTTCTTACCACTACTAGCTTAAACAAAAAAGTCAGTCCTCGTCGAGTCGCTTGACCAAGCTACGATGCGCTCCTCGAAAGCTGTCCAAGGTGTTTATGTTTGAGCCGTTGATTCCTGAGTTTCTTCTCACTGGGGGTTCTCGAGAGGCCCCAAGGGATATAGTAACCTTGAGAAATTCCCATGTCAGCGTGTTTCCTGGGACCTCTTCTGCACGTCTGCTAGGACCTGTGCGTTGCTTGGCTACGAAAGGACAAAACTGAACTGCAAAAACAGCAAGGAGAGGCCGCAGCCTGTCGCTGGCGCATCATGCGTGCACGTAGCTCGGCATAAAAGCCTGATCATGTCAAAGCATGCAGGCACCCGCAGGCCTTGAAGCCTTTCAAAGACTGGCCTTCCGTGTTGAAGCGGCTGTCATCTACGCGCTCTGCCATGTTTGCAGACGCCGCGACGCTGCGGCGTGACAGAGCGGATCTTCTCTGCCCTTCTGAGCTCAATCTACCGCAGCAGTGCTTCCAGGGTTTTTAGCTGAAGTTGTATTCGTCGTGCGCTAACACTGCAAAAGTGTCAGCTCGTATCAGCTGCTCTGCTCTCTGCTTTTGCCATTTCCCCTCTAACTGTCCACTGGCTATACTGGAATGCATGAAGCTTCACACATCCATTCCATTCAGCTGAACAGCGCAGTGTCCATCAGCCGTGCAATGGTAGCCATTTTGCTCTACGAGATTGGCTGTCAGTGCAAACAGCTTGGCTTTGCAGGCCCAACCCGTACATTCTTGTCCTTACTTTTTTGCATTTGAAAACAGATACTCCTAAGATGTTGGTCAGATGATTCCTTCCGCACATTGCTGAATATACATGCTGCTTGAGATGCGTAGTTAAGTGCCCCTGTCGAACAGCACGTTCGACCACATAGGGCAGGATCTATGAGTGAAACCGGAAGTGTCAACTAGGCGCAGCATGCGCTAATCTTCGGTCCGCTCCATACATGAACAAAGAATGCTTCCTTGTATCTGCGTCCTGGCACACTGCGCCAGAATGCCAGACCATGTGACGACGTTCATGAGAAGGCTTCGCCTTCCATTTGCTGCCACCATGGTGAACCGGCTCTTTTGCTAGCAGAGCTGCATAATTTGAATGATTTACGGTAACAGGTTGCTTCCTTTGAAAGCTCTTTGGAGAAGTAAAGGGCCGGAACCAAGCCAGAGAGGGATGTCCTTTCAGCCCTGGTCATCCTCATCCCACTCACCTTCTGGCTCTGTCTCGCCGTCCTCCTGCAAAAGGATTCTACCGCAAACACTTCGCGGAGATCATTGTAGCCATATCCTTCTCAGTGTCTTCGTCGTCTGCGTCCTTCAGCGTAGATATTGCAAAGGCCCGCTTAGACTCTGCACAGCTCCACAGGAAAATCCTCTCCTCATCCTCTTCCATGCTTCCCCCTTCATCCTCCTCGTCCTAACAATTATGAAGGGAGCTTGAAAGGCAGAAATGTCTCGCCCGCGAAGCAAGACCTTTTCCTAGATGTACATGTTTTGATGTGGCTGCGCCTCACCCTCCTCCTCGTCAGTCTCTTCCTCATCCTGTGATTTACATGCACTCGCTCTCGCTATAATGTGGCAATGAAGTTGTGGTGGGCAAAGCGCCTCTTCCTGCGCGTTTGGATTTGCACCTGCAACACGGGCTGAGCACAGCAAGCGTGGAGTACACTTTGCTGGCCTTGCGCAAGCGCTTCACAGACGATGTCCAGTTCTGGCTCCCGCTCCTCTGTGTGAGCCTGTCAAATGCCCTGTTCAGGCGAGCTTGATATGCAAGCTTTACGCTCGCGGCCTCACGCAGCTCCATCAGCAAACGCCTTGTGGCGCCAGACGCCTCCAGGCGCTTGAACTCCTCCTCCCCGAGATGCTCCTGCACAAAGCCAACGAATACATCTCAATACATATCCCAATACCTGAATGTGAAATCACAGCATCGAACTTCATTGGAAACTGTAGGTGCTGTGCATTGCAAAGAAAATGTCCTGCAGAAGGCTGGTAATCTCTGCCTGCGTCTTGGAGTCTTTGGTTGGTTGAAGCGGGCACACAGCCAGACCGCCTTCTGAGAGTGGCCGCCGCGACACCGCTGCAAGGCGACAAGGACATCAACATCGATTTCCTAGCAATTGCCGCCGCGAGCTTTTCCCATGCGGCTGGTGTCCGTATGTGCTTGCCTCATCGTGAGAAGCATTTCGCACCAGCGCCTTGACACGTGAAGCCGCCACCGGGGTCAAAGGCTGATATGGCATTCGTTCACTGCAGTGCCTCCGCAGCAGAAACTGCGCCCAGCTGCACCCACATCCAAAGAGGACAGCGGAGTCTTTTGTCCTGCGGTAGTTGGCAGCACGCGAGGCAGCTGCACTCACATCCTGCTACAACTCAGGCAGCTCCTTTCCGATCAGAGGTTGGAGAACATCTTCGAGCGCGTGCCGAACCTGCTGCAATCCGGAAGTGGGCGTGTAACTTGAAATTGTTTTACGACTTACTGACTTTAAGCAGCTCCTGGCATCCAAACTTGCATGAATCTACAGCTCAAGAGATTTGTATCCCATTCGGCTCAAGTCAGGATCCAGCCTTGCTGCTGGAGATGGTTTTGAGCTCGTCCAGGCAATCGGATGAGACTTTGGCCCCATGCTGACCTGCGTTGGCTTTGGCGTCACGTGGGTTGCCAATCTCGTGGGTCCATTTGTGGCCCTAGCGTAGAACAAAAAAAATGTGTGGGTGGGACCCTACCCCCAAACTAAGCCTCTGGCACAAGGCTTCCACACCAGGCACACAGCGACTCTGCAAGGCCGAAAGTAGGGGCGTGTCATTTCCAACATCCGCGTTTACCTGCACAAGCGGGCTGAGACTTGAAACCAGCTTTGGGTGGGTTCTCAATGAGCTGCCCTTACTGCACGTTGGCATCGAGGAGATGTTCACATGGCAGGTTCTCAAAACTCATGTTTTCTTATGAGAAGACTCATGTAGTCTCTTTCATCACTCTCTTGTGCAGGCTTGAAGAGCCTTGACCGCTTGAGCGCGTTTTGAGAAATCAACTTGCTGGCAACCCTGAAAGCTGCAAGCTTTGCTGGACACTGGAAGCGCTGCCTGGGCCTTGGACTCCACCAAAGCTGCTACTGCCGTCTGCATGGAGTCCTTAGCATGCTCTTCGTGCAAAACTGTACAACAACAGGTTGCCGTGCTTTTACCATCCGGAATCTTTACAACGCGCTAGGAGGAATCTCAGCCCGTACACAGGAGGGTGCTTCAATGATGTTTTGAAGGTAAAACCTTGAAGAACCAACAACAAAGGCCTGCTTGGTGCAGTTTGCCGCGCGGAGCTGTCCAGAGCGTGATCCCACGCCATGAACAGCACAATCTGTCTCAATTCCGGGCAATCCGTCTCAATCAGGCAAGCTTCCGAGGAGACATGCAGATTCGTGACCAGCAGCTGCAGGGCAGAGAGGGAGTAGCTGCCCTGAACCGCAAGAAGCTGTGGAACGTGATCTCTCTGTCTGCATTGAAAGCGCCAGAGCTGAGGCAAAGACTTCCTGAAAGTCAGGGCCATCTTCTGCCTCTTCCTCCTGGAATATGAGCCCTAGTCTAAATTCCTAGTATCCCCTTAACAACCCCTTATAGTAGCTCCCCATATAATCCCTTATATAACCCTGTTTAAGGAGTCTAGATTCAAGCACTTCTGAGACACACTCAGCCTGCGAGTACTGCAGAAACCGAAGCCTGTGCGTTCGGGTCCGCATTCAGCTCCAGGCTGCTGCGAACAATGGCCAGGTCTACCTGAAAATAACAATAGTAGTAGTAGTAGTAGTAGTAGTAGGAGGAGTAGTAGTAGTAGTAATAGTAATAGTAATAGTAATAGTAACAGTAATCATAGTAATCATGGTAGTAGTAGTAATAATATGAATAACGATAATAAGAATAGTAATAGTAGTAATAGTAAGAATAGTATCCATAGTAGTAATGATTGTAATAATAAAAGCAATAATAGTAGAATGCCCTCCTTGTTTACCAGGCTTGAAAGCGACTGTACACAACAGTTCATGGAATGCATCATAGCGACCATTGAGCCTAACTTGAATACTGCCCCAGAAGAATGCTTAACACTGCTGCTGATGAACACTGATCCTCCAAAGTGCTCTTATCAAGAATCCAGCAGATCTGGCAATCTCAGAATAATGAGATCAGGAAGAATACTGACCTTACGCCGAAGATTTTCGGGCCAGTCGCATCACGCTGGTCATCGAAGGCCTCACGAAGCTCCTGGAGCCCGAGTCAGCGAGCGACAAGGCATATCTGCAAGTAGCTTCTCTCGGCTGTAACCTTGCTGCTGGAGAGCACTTCTATCCCTTTTCAATGGAGTCCTGCAGCAGCCGGCGCGTGGCCGCTTCTGTCTGCAGCCTGGAGAACTCCTGCCAAAGGGAACGCAGCTGCCCACAGCTGTGTACATATCATCTTGGCCAGCCTCTTCGCCACATTTTCGTTGCAGCAACTCCTGGCACTATGCGGTGAAGCTCATTCTGAAAGGCAGAGCTTCTTTCCCTGGCCTGGATACGGGGCTGTGACTCGCTGACACGGCAGCGCTGCAGGCTAATGACGTCCTCCACTGACACCTGGAAGGGAGAGACCCTGAAGAAACTGCTGGGCTCACCTGTAACTAGCTCAGTTGCCAGCCGCTTCATCGCTGCTTCTCAGAAGCGCTTCGACGGCAGCAACAGAGCCTGCGTCTTGGTGCAGACAATTCCGCCTTGTGAACTGTTTTAGGTGCCGGGCCGTTCTCCACCCAGGTCCAGAGTGGCAAGGGCGCCAGGCCCCGGCCGCATCCACGCAGCACGGGTCGGAGCAACTCCTGGGGAACACACGGTCCTCGTAGAAGCATCACGAAGAAGGCTCGGTTGCAATGCCGCCAGCCTCCACGTGGAGTCTACGCGAGTCTTCGGACAGGCAGCTGACCTCCCATGATGACCCAACCCAGAGAAAGCTGTGAAAAAAACTATCCCTCAGCGCCTCGTCCAAAATCTCAGTCGCAATGCGTGGCACCGGCGAGGAGGTACTCGTGGAGCCTTTTTCCACGGGCAAGGTGGCTTGTTTATTGCTATGATCAAAACAATTACCAGTATTAATGCTGTTACTACTATTACTTCTACGTTGCCCTATTACTTTCTCTGGTATTATTAGTAGTACTATTATAAGTAGTATTACTGTTGCAGTTGGCGGGGCCAAACCACTGGTGCAAGAAGTCTTCCAGGATGTAAGCGGTATGCGCAGCCCCGGCCTTCTGCACTTGCTTTGGCCAAAACCTGCGGCGTGGTCTGGGCCGGGCTCTTGCTTTCCCTAATCTTCTTTTCACCATATGGTAAGGGGGACACACAGTGCCGTCCGATGGATGAGACACCAGTTGGTTTGAGAGGCTCCAAGTCGTCCAGGGCTTGCGCCTACTGAGGCTGTTTCAAGCAAGCCCCCGCCTCCAGTGCCGTGATGTTTCGGTGCCGCAGCGCAACCCTCAGCAATAACACTTGATCTTCAGGAGCAAGAAGCTGAGGCGGGCATGGCTGCTAGAAGATTCCAAGATGTCAGCAGGAGCGGGGTCGCGCCATCGTCCACCTAAAATGCTTCCCCCCACCACCCCTTTTGGAAGTCTGTTTTGCCAGCCAGCATGGATGGACGCTGCTGTAGCCCAATGGTGGAAGGTCAAATGGAAATGCAGTGGAAAACAAAATGGAAACTGGGCTTTTATATGGTTTATAGAAATCACATTATTTATGGTGTTCAAGTATGGTAAAGAAAATGGAAACTGCTATTTGAGTCATTATTGGTTTATCTAGGCATATAGAACCCTGCTGGCCTCTCTCTCCAAGTCTGCTTTTGCCTGACGAAACGCTGTTGACAAGCTGAGTTAGGTTGCTTCAGGACCTGCCTCAAGCAATGCTTCGATGCCCCTTGACACCGACTCGCTGCTGGAGCGATAGCACATCGCCTGTGGATCAAAAATAACCCCCTATAGTAGTTTCCATTTTCTTGTCCATGATTCCAATAGAACTCCGTACTATGATCCCAATACACCCTATATAACCCCCTCATAATATTCATCCTCATGAACCCTGTGTAAACCTAGCTACTGGAGAGGCGAGATAAGCAGCTGGCTAGCAGTGCCAAGCCAGTAAGGCCCAAAGCTTCATCCTCCGCCGTCTCCTGCTGACCAATGGTTCAAAATTTAGGGGCTGTATAGGGGTTATATAGGGTTATATGAGGTTTAGGGTCCCTACATGAAGCACAGCTTCCATCCCAGTCCGTTTTCTGTTCCATTTGATTTCTCCATCCTTAGGAAAATGCCCTCGTATAATTCCCATACACGCATTGGCATCTCCAGTGAGACTGGCAAGCTGTGCACCTCCTTTTCTCTGGCATTCGGATCAGCGCCATTCTGCAAGGCCTGGATCAAGTGCTAGTGGGTGTTCACATTTGCGCTTCGCCTGACAACAATAAGCGCCTCTTGGATGATGGACACATCAACGTCACGTTCCTGGCAAGTGACACATCTTGGAACTGCTTGCACAGCTTGGGCTCTCTGGGAGCACGCATACTTTCCTTTAAGCAACGGAAGAGCATGAAGTTTTCAGTTTGCAGCGATGATGGCCTCGTCAAGAGCCTACGGCGGATTCGCATTGCACCGACATCACGGAATCTGGGACAAAGCGCAAAAGGCAGCATCCATTTCTAGTGGCCTGGCGAACTTCCATTAGCATGCGTCGCGTAGCTGAGAAGGTCTGCATCTTCTGGAACTGCTCCTGTCTGGAAGAACTCGTTGCTGAGGTAGTATCTAAAGCGCAAGACAGCAAAGTGCGGGCTCGCTGACACCGCAAAATCCATTGCTTTTGCCAGCGCTTGGCTTGGGAATCTGAAGCTATCTTGGCCAATCTAGTCATCTCGCCTAAGGCAGCAGGTGGCATGAAAGCTACTCATTCTGAGAATGAAGTTGCTTCTTCACTCGCGTCACTGCAGGCAAGAAGCGGCAATCTTGACAGAAGCTTCTTGGCCTCTGCAGCTCCGGCAGGAAACTGGAAAAGGAAACAAGAGAATGGATTGATGGTGGACCTGCAGCTTCATCAGGCCGAGCTCGGAGACAAGCTCCTCCTCGGAGAGTTCAACGAGCATGGCACCATCGATCGCATTCTCCTGCGCACACGCGGGTCGCAAGTGCTTCGGTAGGAGTCGAGTGTGGAAAAAATTGTAGAAGGGCGGCGAAACAACCATGCCCTCTGCTTCAGTCCTTGAACTTGTCACCAGTATGACCTTGTGGCTGCTGATTTGCTGGAGACGGTCAAGCTGGTGCTGGCCAGCCAGACTGAGCACGCAGACCGAGACCCAGGAAGTCCAGAAACTGAAGCACCTGCTCCGTCGCGAATGCTGCGAATGTCCACAAGTCCAACAACAGCCCACCTGCTCCATCGACCACTTGCTTGAGGGACCAGATGGGCATTCTGACACCTGGACTCTTGTGAGAAAGCCGTCGGCAGCAGCCCTACAAAAGCAGCGTGCCTTCTGAGCCTTCTCTTGCTTTGCCTCAATACCTCCAGCAGCCTCTGGGATGACGCATGTCTTGGGCAGAGGCACCTTGCCAAACGCTGCAAGTTAGCAGTCACGCAGAAGCTGAGGCAACTTGCCTCTGCCATGGAGAAGGACTCGGGGTAGCCTGAAGGTCAAGCAACTGTCAGTCTTTTGGGCATGGCAGCAGCTGCATGCTCTCAGTGCCTTTGCCACGAGTGAGCGGTATGGGCCTTGCAAACAGCTGAAGCCGGCAAGAATACTTACTTAAGCATGCTGTAACAGGTCTAGTGAGGCCGGCTTTGCGATACAGTACTGGCGGTTGGTTCACTCAGGTTTAATTTGATTCCCAAATTTCACGACAGCAAGGGGTCTGGTTCGTTGAAACTTCGTGCGAGCCTGATGATAAATATCTAAGTCTAAGGTTCATGAAATCGGAAAAGGCATGCCAGCCCGCACACGCATGCTGACGCAGCTTTGTATAGCTTTGTTGTGTTACCCTGTAGAAGACGTGTACCCTACGCATCACCTCGCTGGCTCGCGTGCAAACCCAGGTGCTGGCCGGCATGGGGCTTGAAATCGCCAGCTTTGCGAGCTTCGGACGTATCATTCGCCTTGTCATCGCCGCAGGTCACGATCTCGTTTCTAATCACTTCTGAAAACATGTTGAGGTGAAGCCGCAGCATCCGCCTCTGCATCCAAGAATGCCAGCATCGACTGCAATGACGGAGGTGCTTCATCGCCTGGAGGACAAGGTTCAACATCAGGACATCTGGAGCGGAAACAAGACTACCACAAAATCATAGCCTTCTTGGAGGCGACGCACTGTGAAAGCGGTGCCTCTGAGCACTTGGGCGGTGTCCTATTCACCCTTTTTCTGAGGCTCATGCCTCCCACCACCATCTCTGTCTCAAGATCGCTTGGGGGCATTTCTCTGCTTGGCGGCTTCTCTTTTGTCTTCTTTGCCGCCTGAAAACGACCCATGCGAAATGTCAACACAAAGTCACAATTAGTGTCAACTGCCGCAAAGGCACTAGCTCGCTGAACGCCTTCTTTCTTGCAGCAACTGCTGCAGCCAAGCTTTCTCGAGTGGAGTCGCTCGGTCTCAAAGATCGTCCTCCTTTAAGCAGTTTCAATTTATGACAGCGGATGACAGCGGTTTGCACAACTGCGCTTGTGCAACTTGCAGGGCACCTCCAGAAGCTTTTGTAAGCGGTTTCTTGGCAGTGGCTGCCTGAGCCGCACAAATTCGTAAACACTTCAACTCTACCAGTATCATATTACGCAAGCAATTAGTTGAGGCGATGCTGTGCGCCGGGCTCGAGCTATGTCTGGCTTAATGAGTTTTGGCCACCGTAGCCTGCTGGGCAGGACCTTCTGAACAGCCTGAGCCAGGAAGCCAAACAGCACCATCCCGCCCAAGGCACAAGCATGTCAATGGGCTGCGGGCATTGCCCATGACACTGATGTCATAGGTGCCTGATAGACACAGTGGGTGGCAAGCAAAGGCATCTGCCCCCGTACAGTACTGTCCTATCTCCGACCAAGGCACCATTTCGGTTCCGATGAAGCACCGTCGCCTCAATCCAGCCATCGTTGGAGAAGTCATCCTTGGGCGCTGAAAGATTTTTTGGGATTCAAGCTGATGCTGCTCCAATGTAAACTGCAATAAGCATTTACTTGTCTTCGCAGCGAAATCTTAGAGACTGACACAACACAAAGGACCAGGAAAGAGTAGGATTCGTGGACGTCTTTTGAGGGATTTTGCAGCAAAGCTGCGTAGTCCACAACGGCCCCCACGTGAAAGGCTGGATCTTCTGCCTGCGACTTGGGATGCAGAGTCTCTTGCAGCCATGACGGGCCGGAAGAAGAGGTGGCTTCAGCACACTGGCAAGTTCAGGCCTTGGCTGCTTCGCCTGCTTGTGGAGCTTGTGGCATTGCCTCAGTCTTAGAGCACCTCATGTGCGCCTTTACAGAAGCTGCGACTACTGCAAGCGTCAGCTTGAAGGTCTGCTCGGCAAACACGTCAGCTTCTCACAACATGCACGAGGCATCTGAAATCATCTCATGCCAGAAGTACCCACCTAAATCCTAAACCCCTAAATCCTAAATAGTAGTTTCCATTATATTTTCCATTATCGCAGTATAGCCCCAATATAAGCCCTTTAAGTACTCACTGACAAGGTCCAGCTGCTCCGCTCAAGGACGTGTGCTTCAGGGTCCTCGGCGGCGCATGGCCGCCGGGCCATCTGATCTTCGTGGCAGGCACTTGGGGCTCCACGTCTAAGTCCTTGGCTGGGCTGAGACATGGTCACACCTCTTGCAAGTTTAAACCCTAATGCCTAATCCCTAAAAGTTAATCCCTAAACACTAAACTCGAGTCCATGGGCTGAGACCAGGTTGGCTCTGATCCCTCTGAGGTCGGCTCAAAAATTCCATGACGAACACGGTGAATGACCTTTGCTGGCACCCATCGACCTGGGTCGCCACAGCATTCTCATGCTTCATTGCTTGGTTTGGAGGCGTTCCCCAGGAGTTCAAGAATAGCTGATTTGGAATGATCGCTGCCGGATTGCATGGATCCGGGTCCAATCTCCTATTCCATGGCCACTTGCCGAACTGTCGTGGCAAATGGGTCTGCCGAGTGGCCGTTGGAAAAGCGGTCGAACTCGACCACGGCACCGTCGGGATAGTCCAGCACAATTGCTTGAGAGTGCGGCCTCGCGGGCTTCCTCTCCAGGGCTTCCTTTGCTTGGGAGCCCCCAATCAGGAAGCCAGGTCTCAGTGTGGTGGATTTTCGCGCCTCCGGCTGGCTGCCGTTTCTGGCTTCTGCAGATGGAGCCGTGACCGGTGCTGCGTTTTGTTCTGGTGACTGTGCACCAGCTTGCGACGCTGTTTGAGCAACAGTGTGTTTGCTCTCGCGCGTATCGTAACGCGTTCCTCCGGCAAGGCTGTTTAAAATGTCCTCCTTTGACCGTATGTACCTTAGCTACATCTTCACTCTTGAAACAGCTTGCTCAAAGCAGCGCACAATTCCTGACTCCGCAGCGAGTGGCACTTCGTTCCAGCGCCATCTCTTGTTTTCTTCCCGTTTGAGCACCTGCTGGAAGCACGAAGGTGAAATGTGACAAAGTATTACTAAAAAATGGTCTCGTAATATAGCCGTCCACCCACAGAGCATTGAGACAGCCAATACTATGCGGCACTCCATACACCAAGTCCAGTTATCTAATCCATTACCAACTCTTCTTCTTGGTGTATAACCCATGAATTGTTCAGAGCTTCCCTGCTCTACATAATTCCCGGTGTCCTTTTCATTTTCCTTGGTGTTTCCATGTGGTCCTCCGTTATTGGGGTAATATCCGTATGTAATCCAAATAGAATCCCCTAAATCCTAGACCCTAATCCCCATATAATCCCCACATAGCCATTATATATCCTCTGCAACCCTCTTTAACCAGACACCGAATTTTGGTGTCCTGAACCCAAATCCCCAATCCCTCCCTAAACCCCAATCCCCGGACCCCAATCTCTAAACCCCAATCCCTAAACCCCAATCCCTAAACCCGAAACCCCAATCTCTGAACCCTAAACCTGAAGCCCCAATCCCTAAATCCTAAACCCCAATCCCTAACCGCTAAACCCCAATCCCTAAACCCTTCACCTCACGCCTTCTGGCCATCCTCCAAGATCAAGGCGGCACTCTCCTCGGCAACTTGCCGAGGTAAAGGCCTCAGCAAAGCCAGGGAGCTACGAGAAGGGATAGGGGGGGTTCCCAAAGTTAGGGGTACCTTATTGGGGGTTGAAGGGTTTCGGGTTTAGGGCTTAGTCCGCATAATAAGGATTATAGTATTTTGGGGTCTCTATTGGGGTCCCTTTATTTTGGGAAACTACCATAGGGACATTACCCCCAATAGGTTGGGTCATTCCCCCTTACAGTAACTGTTACCACAATGGGTTATAGGAGCTATAAGAAACCCCGCAATAAGGCCTCTTTAAGGACAGTTACTGGGAGGGGGAATGACCTAACAATAGGCTTGTATAGGGGTGTATAAATATGGATTTAATAAGTAGGGTAGCGGTATTATAAAGGGGCGATGAGGGATTTTAGGAGGATAGTACGGCAACAATGGCGAATCAAACGGAAAAGAAAATTGAAGATGAAATGGAAACTGGAACTACATAGGGGTTTGGACTAGCATTTCTCAAAAAGAGGCGCCCTTAAGAATTTTAGGGATGAGTACTGGAGTTGGCAATGAGGATTAAATAGGGCATTTGTCAAGACATCGCACCGTGACTACCACCAAGATTCATCACGCTGTCTCATGCACAGCTAGCTTTACAATTAATCCCACGCTTCATCCGTAGGTTGCTCCTTGCCCGCACTCAACCTCGATTCTAGCCAAGCCGCTCGTCGATCAGCAAGAGGCTTGGCGGCTCTCCAGCCTTGGGTAGCAACGACGCTTGACACAAAAGTAACCTTGGCGGGAAGCTAGATAACATGCAACGTCAACGAGTCTGCGAGCCAGAGAATGTTGAGGCTTCTAACCCCAAGGCCCCATTCCTGAAAGTCGCGTTGGCATGTAATCCAAGATGGGCAACTGCGTAACCCCAATGGTGGCTTCCATAACAAGGAGCCTGCTAAAGAGTGGAGCATGCCAAGCAGCATTTGGTTCTGCCGTCCCGTCAGAGACCCACCCTGTTTCAGCGGGCCACGGCCCAGCATGCTCCTTCACGCTGTAAACCCAACCTTGTGTGCACTGCACATCACAGGGATTCATTGGGTCTCGCACTGCAATGGCAGGCCTGTCGTTTTGTAGATGCTATTCATCTTCCAGAACCTTAGGGTGAAGTGGAAGCTGGCAAACGTCAAACACTTGGGATGATGGCGTTTGTGGAGTCTCACGCACTGTGTGAATCATCTCATCCGAGCGTCTTGTTGAAGTAGATTACTGCGCCGTTGTCTGCTTTGAACATTGGCTTGCCCTGGTGTAGGCCACAATATCGGTAATCCCGGTTGCAGGCGTGGATGCCAGCACCCGAAGCCCGCAGGGAGACAAGACAGACTCGTCTTTCCTTTTGCTCCTCAGCTGCTGTAGGTTGCGAAGCAAGGAAAACTGAAGCATTGACTTTGATTCCCAGGTTCAGCCTTGGCTGGCTTGGCCTGTCAAAGATAATCTGATGGCAGGATGCACTACGATCTTTACAGGCCACGTGCCTTCTGTGTGACCTCCTCAAATCTGTCCGGAACAGTAACATCCTCAGACGCAGATCCTCCCCCAAGCCCTTCACCAAACGAATGATTGTTTGTGGCCGCACGACTCACTGCAGCTCGATGTACACTTACAGCATTTGCAATGCAAAGCAAACAAGGTGCCCGAGTGATGGTTCTGCGCCGAATTCCATCTGTCTCGAGCAAAGCATCTATGCCGGGCACCTGCCGAATTGATTGAAACAAAGTTTGGAGTAAGCGCTTTCGAACTTGAAAGCTTCATAGGGAGTCTGATTGCAAGCAGGATGGCGATGTTTGTGATTTTTCTTTCCTGCGCAGTGCACCTTGTCATCTCGCGCGGCGCCCGTCAAGGCGCGCTTTTCTGCAGCCTTCTGTTGCCAGCAAACCTCTGCCACATCTGCGGGCTCAGGCTCTGTAGCATCCAGCGGTATGCGATTCCTTAAAAGTCTCACGACAGTTGGCTGCAATTATTGAGGCCGATGATTCAGTTGTCCCCATTCCTACACTGCCTACTGACCAACACCGGCCGAGGATGCAGAAGCAGGTTTGATTAAACTGTGCACCATGCAAAACTCATCTGTCAAGCGTCCGATTAAAGAGGCCGGAACCAGCCATCTTGACATGTGGGAGAGAATTTAAATAGATGTGTGCTGTATGAGCTATGTGGCTAGAAGGGTGTTTGGCGCCTCCTCGGGCAGTGCCTCAAGAGGTGCTCTGCTAAAAGACTCATGACAGGCTTCACGAAGTTTTGCAAAGAGCCCACTGGCTGGCGGCATTATCTTATGTTATCTTTCGACCATGGAGTTACTCATGGAGCAGCTGTTTGGGGCTGTTGCATGAGATAATTACTGGAGCCATCTGCAATCGGGCTGACTTGTTTCGGCGATTCCAGACACATGGCAAGTCCAAGCGGTAGCGCTTGTGAAGGAACGACAGCACCGAGCAACAGAATTAGCTGTGGACTTGCCCCAGTTCCTCGCCAACATGTTCTCGAAGATGTTCCGCAATCTGCTTGCGGCCTAGGCTTAGAGGCTTAGAGGTATGGAGTGCGACGAGGCGGACAAAAGCAACTCTATGATGTAGCAAACTAGGCGACCGACTATCTTCATCGCCACCTAAGGTGCCATGGCTCATGCATCAGATGATCAACTGTTCTTTCTTGTCCCAGGAGCTGCTACGCTGCAAGGCGATGAAGACGTCCTCACCGACTGCCTCCTCGTGCGCAGCATTGCGGAGGAGAGCCTGAGAGTCACAGCCCAAGCCCAAGCCAAAGAACAGCGGACAAAGATAACCCCAGCAGCCTCCACAGCTGCAGCACTGCCGGCCTGGGATACATATCCGAGGACATCAGAAGTATCAATTAAAGTTGGGATGTCGAACTATCAGCAAAGGCTAGAAGCAGTGATGCCACAAAATGGTGAACCCAAAGTATTCATCCTGGCCATGCATCCTACTGAACATGATTCGATCAACAGCCAAGTTCCCAGCTTGAATCCAAACCCAGAGAGGCAGCCTCATGGTTTAGCGTCATCGGATGTCACATTTGCCACTCGGGAAGTGCCTCATGTTTGGATCGCCTTGCACTTGAGGACGCATCAGCCTGGTGAGCCACGGAGATCCGTCTGGCAATGGCATCCCTGTCTGTTGAAAAACCATCCTGCCTCTCCATTTCGCAGCGCTGGCTCTCCAAGGAGACCCCCTTGAGCTCCTCCAGGACCTTGCGTTAATCTGTTAGGGTTATATTGGGGTTACATTGGGATAATGGAAAAGAAAATGGAAACTACTTTAGTATAATAGGATAAGGGATATAAGTGCATTCTCACAGGATTGACACAGCTAGGAATCGCCCGGTTTTTGATGTTTCCTGCCTCTGGTGTAACCCGAGCTCCCACTTCGCAAAGGGCAGCAACTGCGGCAGTGTTCCGACCTCCCGTGAACAGCGCCGATCATCAGGCAAGCTTGCTCACGCTGCGTTGGCTGCTCTCTCTGGGCTGTCTGACACTGCACAGCCAGGAGCAGGGGACATCGCTCGCTCGGCCAATCATTAACCTGAGAGCTTTCAGAAGCAAAGTGCATAAAAATGTGATCAAAATCCTGCATGCTCCCGCATCACACCAAGCTGCATCAGCTCCGGCATTCACCAAGGCCTGTATCAGCGTACGAACCTCAAGCACGAATACGGATTCCGCTATTATAGAGGAACGCATGCGACGCAGCAGCTTCATCTAAGGGCACCACAGTCTCTTCTGAGACCTCGGACTGAAGGCGGTCATCCGATTCACTTCGGATCTTGGGCCAAGCACCTTGTTGTTCATCGCGACCAAATTCACCGCCGTTTGTGCTTGAATCTCGTCCTCGTGGCTTGAGTGAATCTGTGCGCAGAAAGCGCTGAAAAGGAATAAGCGGAGCATTGTTGCCCTAACGCAATCAGTTTCCCGCAAGAGCATGATATCGGCCGCGGCATTCTACAAAGCACTCCTCGGCCCCCGAATCCTCCGAGAAAGCACCCTCCTGCAGGCGGGCAAGAGCAGGCATTGCCAGCAATGGCTGTTACCGGCAGTCCTCATCGCTGCTATCCTCTCCCTCACCCTCCCATTCCCATACCTGCCAGCAGAACAGGATACCAATACAACAAATGTCTTAACAAAACAGCTTCAATTCACGCAAAACCTTTTAGTGGAAAGAGCTCAGCGAGCATGGAAGCATGGGAGGGCATGTCTTCCTGCAGTTCAGGGCACGCGGCCGCAAACGCAGGTGATCTTGCGGCAGCCCTCGCTGCGCTGCGTTGGCACCCCGCATCCCGGGCACAGCTGCGCCTGGAAACAGCAAGAAGTAATCCTGCTGCCTGATCTGCATCACTGCGTTCGCGAGGCCGTGTGCAGCCTGCCGGGCTTTTTCGGAACGGAGGCGTTCATTACCTCAGGCCAAGCCAGCATGCTCTCAAACGCTGATTGCAGCTATGAACGATCTTGCTGTCCGACCAGGCACCGGGCAAGTGACCCCCCGGTGCCAGGAGGAGACCTTGCAGCGGAAGCAGAACTGCCTCGGCAGCGCGACATCTTGGAGCTAATGCAGCATGCAATGCAGGACCATGCAATTGGCAAGGCAATGGAAAGCACGCTTGCAGTTGCCACCAGGCCGCTCCCCACAGCAAGGGGTGCCTGCAAGCAGGCAATCTGCAACTGGTCTAAGCATGCCCATTCTTGGTAGAGCTCAGTGCCCCGCGCTGTCGTGGGAAACGATTCAGCCAAGCTAGTTGGAGGGCCAAGCGTCGCCTGAAACACAAGGAGCATCAAATGTCACATGCTGTGCGCCACTGGCAAAATACCGAGGACGACACTCCAAGTCCTCAATCCAGTTGGCTTGGCCACTGGGACCGAGCACCTATCAATGAGGAGAGGGACGCATCGTGCGAATCAACTCACCGGCGTGCTCCAGAAGCCTTGCTCATGCTGCTGGGCGGAGCCCCGCCCTTGCGGTGCCCGCAGGAAAACTCGTCCAGGATGGTTTGAAGGAACTTCTCCGCAGGAACCTAGGGAGCTACCCCTTGAATTCACCGCTCAAATCTTGGACCCAGAGCCTCTGCGAGGAAGAATGCTTCCCAGGCCGTCCAAAGCCTCTCGCGCGCCTTGCAGAAACAGGCTTTGGATCTCTGAGCAAAAGAAGACTCGTTGGGCCTCGCTACCGAGCATCCCAAAAGGCTTGCCAACTCCTTTGCATCGCAAGCTGTAGCAAGATGTCAGAAACCTTGTTCCGGAAGAGCACTGCGGCTCGCCTTCAGTGCTTGGTCTCAAGTAGGAGCCTGTTTCGTCACAGGCTGCACATCGGTAGGTAAGGAGCGCCTGTCATGGACAGCATATGCTGCAAAAGCAAAACTGCAAGGCGAGCTGAGCTGCGAACTCGCGCATTTTCGTTGTATTTAGCAAACGTCTCCTCCTGGGAGGCTCCCACAACCAAGCACAGCCAGCTCCCACAATAGATGCCGGCCTTGACCAAAGGCGCCCAAGCTGTTGTCGCTAGGCGCAAATTGCAAACAGGGCAACGCACCTAAGCTCAATTGAGCCCGTTTATGCTCAGTGCTGACGGCACAGGATGCATGTGCATGTGCTGCGCTTCCGCATGTGCACTTCTGGAAAGACAGTTCCAAATGATGTTCCAGAATGACGTAGTCTTTGTTATCACGCCCTCCGAAACAGGAAACGTTTTGTTCAGAATTCCCCACTTGTGCAGCAAAGGTGAGAACGGCGGGTGCGGCGTAAAGCCCGCTGTCTATGACAGCCTGCCAGGCAAGTGCTTAGAACACAGAAATGCTACAGCTTGTGCTTCCTGCCTCAGCATGCTGTCGCAAGCATTCAGAGCAAAAGCCCTGCACACAGCACACTTGCAAATGATGCGGGGATGCAAGCCAAGCCCCCTTTCTGCAATTCCAAGCCCCTGTCTGGCCTTTTCGCCGCAAATCGCGCGACCACAATGCCAAAGCTGGCATGCACTGAAGGACTCCATGCAAATACAGCACCTGTGGCCATTGCAAGTCACACATGAATCAGCTTGCAGCAAAGGATCGAGTCCAGCGCGGGGTTGCGTCGTACGCCGCTGGATCCTGTAAGTTGAATCTTCGATTTCTTGCACTCCACCATTATGGCATACTGCCTCTGATGATCGATGCTGCACCAAAACACCTTGACTGATGTTGGACCCGATCTTCCTCCAACCGCGCTGTGCTGTAGCAAGGCACAGAGAACACATGCAGCGCCATCCTCGTTGGAGGTGGCGGCAGTCCTGCTAAGACGGCTGCTTCATCCTGGCTTTGCCAAGCTGTGGTGTCTCGCTCTATGGCAAGCTGGCAATCTCAGCCAACCTGCTGCGTGACTAAGCAGCCCGAAAATGTTTCAGCCTGAGCCACCAGCCACTTGCAACGATTTCCCCATTTCACGACTGCACCGTGGCACTGATCCCGGTAAGTCCCGCACGGGTATCTTTTCTGCTACTATCAACATGTCCTGAAACGCGCGCAAGCCACATGAGCTATAGTCTAAACTCCTAGCATCCCTTTCATACCACTATAGTAGGCCCTCATATCATCCCCCATATAACCCCCTTTCAGGAGTTTTGACTATAGCTCACATCACCAGAAGCCTGATGTCATGGCTTTGCCGGCCTCCGGAGCAGGCTCCTCAATGTTCTCCAAGGAGTCCACATGCAGAGGAGGGTAGCTTTCTCCTGGTAGCGCCATGGGGGTTATACCCTGGGCAATGCAAAGGAGCAGCAGAACAAATAAATCCCGATCCATGTACAAGAGGTAACCGATCACACCACTCAGTTGATGAGCGCAATTGAGCCTGATTACTGTCCACCAGTCCTGCCACATCCTTGCAGGACACCTGGACTGACAAGGGGTCTGGAGGAGGGCGCCGCCGCCTGACAAAGCGCCAGCTGATGGCTGTTGTCCAGACCTTTTAGTTATGAAATTCCATCTGCAGGCAAGGCACCAGTGTGCTCTGGAACTGCTTAAGGCTGGAACCATGGACAAAAGTTGCCTTGTGTTCAAGGTGCTGTGGCAGCGGCCATGGTTACTGACCACTAGCACTGCTTCACCATCAGAGCCAAGGCTCTGCAGCTCAGGCTGCGCCTTGGAAACTCAAGAAGCGACATTCCCTTTCGGCTGAATCCAGACTTGGCATCGTGCCACCAGGCTCTCGCCGTCTGGAAGCAACCGCTTCAGCATGGCCAATGGGCCCTCACGGCCATGGTCCAAATGGGTGGCAGCCTCGCGCAAAAAAATGTAAATTAGTTTCTTCAAATAGGACGGTACAAGCCTGCAGCAGCATCACGAGAGCTGCACGGCGACTGGGTTCCCAAGGCTCAGACAAGGCCTCAGCATGAGCAGTGCAGCTTCCCGATCCCCCAAGTCGTTATTGGCTTGTCCCTGCAAGTCTTGGGGCGGCAACAAGTTGTGCCAGCAGTGAGCGATTATCCCGCCCCACTGCGACGACGGCCTCATGGCAACGGCCCGACACACCCTTGCCAATTCATGCATGTGGGGGATTGTCAAAATTATGGTCCCTGTTTGGGTCCCTAAATTACGCCCCGTATTAGGCCCCGTATTGTAATAGGGACCCAAAAAGGGACCATAATTTTGACAATCCCCCATGTCTCTCCTGGATGTTCCTTCTCTACACCACACCAACGACAATTCCAGTTCAGACTTTCTTTCCATCGCATGAACTCGCGGTTCAGACAATGTAAGCCTTATCACCACTCTGCTAGCTGCTATCGGAACATGAGAGAGGCTTGCGTAATCATGCGAAGTGGATGGCCATTGTCAATTGTTGAAACCCCATCCTGTTGCACTGCAGGCAGGCTAGATCTCACATTACACGACCTGCCAAAATGCACTCCCTGCCTAGTCTGCATACCAAACCTCTGCACAAACCTCTGAATTCCACACCCGATTTCTAGGAAAAAAGATGATTGACATGTTGAGGTTGCTGTTTTCCGGGATTACAGTACATGATCACTCTTCAGGCAAGATTATTGTAGAAGCCGAGACAAACGCCGCGCCTTCCGCAAGACTTGGCTTGGACCCCATAGTTCGCGGACGCCCCACATAAGTCGGTCCCACTCCTGACATTCCAGTGTCAAACTAGCGAATGAAGCAAAACTCATGCACTGACAGGACTAAAGTCCTCCTTTCGAAGCAGAATGCTTGCGAAGCCACCACAAGCCTTGCTGCAATGTCCACACCTGTACTCCTCAAACTTGCAAAGTTGCAGCATTGTGCACCTAAATGCGCCCTGGGCACGTCATTGAGGAGGTCTGCATGCGCCGCACCCTGCAGCAAGGTGGGCGTGTAGGCTCCCAGGACACCTGCAGCAGCAGCTGCAAAAGCATCTCTCGGCCATGGTATCCCCCCAAAGATCCCAAAGGCTACAGTCCGTCTGCTGGGCCTGTAGAAAGTTCCACTCCTGTGAGGAGGTCTAGCAAAGCTGGTGTTCCGCCTCGGCACTGCTGAGCTGCGTGCGGCAACAGGCTGCTCAACAAAGAAAAGCCGGGCTTGGGCATCTGACATCCAGGGGCGGCTGCAAGGTCTGCAGCATCGCCGTCCCCAGCAAGAACGTGAAACCAAGCCTGCATCGATCTGCATCTTTAGTTCCAAGAACAGCCCAAGAATATCAAAGCCCTGGCCTCGTTGATGACTGCAAAAGCAGCCTCTGAACCAACCAGGGATGCCACTCCGTGATCGGGGGCAGGGGGCTCATCACCCATTTTCACATGCGCTCCCGCATCTACACTTTACGCACCAGCAGTGGTGCCAATTCAATCAACCAACAACACATTTTCTGTTTGCTCGGGCTGCGGTCACTTGCATCCTGTGGCCTTACTTCACCGGGTGTGGTTACCTGGTTAGCTTCTGTCCATCTGCTTCATCCCATGCGCATCTTCTGACTATCCCGGCTCGACACAACTGACCATGTTGGCACTAAATTGGCCAAAAAACGTACGAGCCAAGACCTGGCAATGGATTCACACGTGAATTGAACAAGTCCGCTCCAGGCACTTGCTAAATCTTGCTAGTTTGCGCAGCCGTGAACCCACCCTGTTTTGGAGCACTGCACGAAACATGTCCAGCGGTCACGTCACATCTTTGGCCTCCAGGAGGAAAGTTTCCAGAAGCGCAGGAGATTGCTAGTATTGGTCCAATGCGTTTGCCCTTAGGCCGGTACTTCTTTTGTGTGCGAACGTACGGAGCCGCCAACTGGTCGCCAGCAAACCTTGCAGCGAGATCAGGACTCTGCAAGTATTCGTCTGTTGCAGGCCAGCAGGCAAACAGCAACGCAAGGATGCGTGTTCGTAACGTGTTTTGGTTTGCTTGGCTCTGCACTCCTTCACAATGCTTTCCACCCAGGACAAGCGCTTGCCCTGCGGCAGCCAAGTTACAAGCAGTCTGCCAAAGGACGACGCGGCAAGGAATGACAAAACCCTTCTCCCTTCCTGTCGGCGTTCTTTGCGGTATTCTTCGATCATCTCGTCTGCACGTTTCAGTGCCTCTGCAACTTGTGCCTGCACAGGAACTTCATTTGCATGGCGCTCGCTGCATAGTTTCTTTTGCTCGGCCTTGCGATACTCCTTGCGGTACCAGCGCTTCAGGCCATGCGGCTCTCGGTCCTTAGAATCAGTCCGCCTTACATGCCATAGTATGACACACGGTGAAGTCTCTCACATGTCCACATGTTATCAGGGGATTTGCGTCAGACACCTCTTTGAAGAAGCGCTTACTTACGACATGGCTGGGATCGAAGCCATGTAGTGTAACTTCCCCTGGTAGTAGTCGTTTGCCCACACCCAAGGCAGGCTGTTCATGTAGTACTGCTTCTCAATATCAGCCTACAGACAAGTCAAAGGAATGTTGCGAACGGGGTTGTGCTGCAAACGGCAAAGGAAACAGAGCTGACAGCAAGGCTCAGGGGCAGCTAGGACAAATGAGAGGGAGGAAAGCCGGATGAGGGGAGAAGGTTGCCTTGTACCTCCCAGACACGCGAGGCGGATGCCATTCGCCCAGCTCATCCTTGTAGGGAGCAATGTCCTGAGGAACCCGGTACCTCCGTTCTTCAAAGTTGAGAAAACAGCACTTCTCCGCCATGAACTGATGCACCTTCGGCGGCTTCCGCGCACATTGCAAAGATTGGGCCTCATATCAGGTGCAAACAAGAGAATGCTCGGACCCTGTCTGGCCGTTTTGCGCCAATGATCATTTCTAGCTCTCTCCTTCTACAAGTAGCTTTTAGCTGCGTAGCTGCATATGACACCCTTCCGCGGCAGGCGGCAGTTTGTCAGAGCTGCAACAGCCAGAAACTTTCGACATGAGGTGGCCATGGTCCCGGCGACCACTGCTTCCAGTTGCGAGACTGCCTCGGCTGGATGCGCAAACTTCTTGAACACTGCAGGTGTATAGGACAGGTCGAGCAGCCAAGTATTCAGGCGATACTTGATGGCAGGCCTCATCCTGACAAATGTCCAGGTCAGCTCTGAATGCTTCAATGAATTCATGGACATGGAGTTCTTTCGGGGGGTTACACTCAATCTGTACATGTCCTCAGCACTCCCTTGGTAACCGAAATTGTCCCTCTCAAGGTGCTGCCTTACGAAGGGATTTTGGACTGGCCGCACCCGAATGCCGCGTACGAGTCCATCCTCTCAGCCAGACAAATCTCAGGGAAGCGGTCAACTGAGCGTGCAACAAGAGGCTCAGCGCAGCATCCAGGCTCTAGAGCACTTCCAGCCTGGAGTTCTCGTCGCGGAGTTCCAATGCATTCGGCCTGGCAAAAACATGTTGGGCGACATCTTAAAGGATGAGGCCATGTCAAGGAGCGGACACCAGCATATCTGGGCCTAGCGCAAGTAAGCAATGGACTTAAAAGCTACATGTTGAAAAGCCTTTCACGCTTTGATGTCTGCCCTCGCAGATGCTGCAGCTGGATGTGCACGTGGAATTGGGCGCGTCAACTGGCTGGGCTTTGGACTCTATCCGCCTTTCCATCAAGTCAAACCGAGACTCCCAAGCCACGTCCCGCACTGCCTGGCCAAATGCCAGCTCCGTTTGCAACAAATGCAATTCCTAGAAACAATTTACATATCATTTTTTCCGAGTAAGTGGGCAAGAATATGCTGCTTCATCACGTTAAACATATTATTGCACATTTTCAAACAAGGTAGGAGAGCGCGATCCAAGGCCGAGAAGCCCGTGCGCACAGGTCGCAATGGGGTGAAATTGTGAGGGTGGCCTGCAGAACTGTCACTTCAACAACAGTATGGTTCAGTCTGGCATGAGATACCTGCACCTGCAATCTACGTACTTGCTGAGAAAGAGCACGACTGACTGAGCATTCGGGCCAGGGTATAGTTGCTCCGGGAAGCGTGACCTTTGCTGCCAGGCGTGGGGCATGTTTACCCGGCATGCAGCCCATTACCATGTGTGAGATTAGCGGCATCAAGGCTACTCCAGTGGAACTTTTGAAGCCAAAATGCACCTTCGCTGCGATCCACAGGATCTTCTGAAGAACAGCTCAGAACCACTTTGTGCGGTTCAAGTGGAGTGCCACCCGGGCGGACCAGCAGCATGCTACTGACTCTGAACGAGGAGGACACAAAATTGCGCGCGCGCTCGCACATGCTCCGCGTCAGCGTGGTGGTGTGTTCTGCGGTTTACGCACCCATCGTCCACATGGAAATCTTCAGTCCCGTCAATGGCAGCAAGCCATGTAGAGCAGCAGGGTCGAGAATGCAAGCTTCTTGTCTTCTTGACCACGTTGAATCCCAGCGTGTTTCTGTTCGTCAGCAAACTCCCTGCAAGGGTGGTTGTCGATGCCCTTGCTTTCTCACAGCTTAGACTTTGCCTTTACCTCAGCCAAAATCTCTGAACGACTCGCTTCATCCAAATTGAGCTCATTGACGATTTCCTGTACAGGTGAGGAGCAGCAACAGCAGCAAAGGCCCTGCTTCATCACCCAACCCCTATCATTTTCCATGTTGTTTTGCATTGGATGGCCCATTGTTGGGTCCACTATTGGGGTCATATCCCTATGTAACCCCCTCTATTCCCAATCTTGGTGGAAAGGCAATACCTCGGTCTGCTCTCCCAGCTCAGGCGTCGGGCGTCTCGGCGCCGTTTTTGGCGCGTTCATGAAGTCAACCGGTGAGGCCACAAAAGTGACCTTCGCGTTAGAACACTTTACCTTGCTGGACTGTGAGGCTTCGATACACCCGCGGGGCCTTCGTTCTTCCTGCTGCCTTCGCTTTTGATGACAATGGAGACTCAACGAAAGATCTTGCCGCGAGTGCCTGAGGGTCTTCTGACACCTAAGCAAAGCAAAGGCGGCCACAGCCAGGTCAATAGCTCATATGATAAATACTCCATGCAAAAGGGGCCAAACTTGCAGATCAGCTTTAACATCGCGTATGAAAGCCTTGAGACAAGACACTTCTGCGGCGGAAAGCACCGGTGCCCACCAAACTCCTTCTGCATCAAACCGCACGGCCCAATCCTCACGTGTCTTAGACGCAAAGATGAGGTCCAGCTCTGCTACGAGTTCACGCTCGTTCTCTCGTCTCGCTTTGGCCGTCTTGAAGCGGCTGTCTTCCAGCCACTCCGGCCGGCCGACCGCGCGGACCGTCGCCGGCCAGTGGCGCTCAGCTTCGACACCTGTGAGCCAGAAAGCCTTGCCGTCCTTGCACTGGTAGACGGTGGCCAGGGGGTTGCCTGTTCTGTCCCGGCGGCCCCACTTGATGGTGCGGCCGAAGGCAAAGTAAGAGCTGAGTGCCTAAAGCAATCTATCTACTTGAGATTCGTTTCCCGACAGACATGAAAATATACTTGCTTTTGCTTGCTACCAGCTGTTTCATTCCAGGTTTTGCACATGCACAGTGCAAGTTGGCTTCTACAAAATGAGGCAGGAGGCTGTCCAAATGAGTGTGTGAAGCAGATGAACATGTTGCCTCAAATTGCTCGGTGCAGCTGGAGGACCCAGGAGTTGCAGTGCACACCCGTCCGCAGCAGGTTCGTACTCAAGGCCATGCCCTTGCCCGTCCTCTCTCTCGCATAAAGGGCAGCGCAAATGCCTCAACCACAGGTCAACTTCAAAGCCTCCCTGCAGCTCAAAGCTCCTACATGCCCCTACATAACTGCTCACAGCGACTTGCCTCCAACGGCTGCCAGGCCAGTTGCCATGTCTCCGAAGCCGGGAGCCAATACGGCTGGGTAGCCTGCTGCGTCTGTATGCGAGGCGGCAGCACCAGAGCGTGCCCAGAAGCCAGAGAGATCCTGTCTGCAGGTGTTACCCCACCCCCAGACACGGGAGCGAATTACAGTTTAGCAGCTCTTGTGGAAACAAGCTGCGTAGACAGGTTGATTGGCTGCGGGACCGTCGAACCCCCATCCGGTCATGGGGCAGAAGATGAGCCGGGGATATTGAGGTAGCAAGCTATCGGCGTCCAACCCGAGCCGCTGCAAAGACTCATACCCTTGGCTGCCAGATCAGTGCCAGATCCGTGTCTTGGCTGACCACAGCATGCAAAGGTCAAGTGCTGCCGCAGAACGATAGTTCGAAAGAAAGACATCGGATTTCGCCAAAAGCGCATGCAGCGCAGCTAGCCCGGCCTCCGGACATCCAGGTTGACATTGCATGCTGTAATCAAGAATGCAAATTGCAGGCCTTCGTCTTGAGGTTCAGAACGATGGACCTTTTGCCTCGCCAAGCGGAATCAAATGGATTTCTGCGAACGCAGGCACAGGCTGCACTCCTTGCACGGTCAGTTAGGATGTGTGTCACTGAGGGCCAAGCCGCGATTGACGGAATAGAAGTGTGCAGAATTCCGATACCTAGCCAAGAGCGCCATTGCACTGAAGCCGCAATGGTAGCGGCATACATACTTGGAATAAGTCAGGTTTTGGGGTTCCCTAGGTGTGATCCCATAAGGGGTGTTGGGGGACGTACTCCTCACCTGTGAGTTTTTGGGCTCTGCAGGCTGAGGCTCGGATCTGCGCTGGACTTCCCAAGCCTGAGGAGCAGGACGGTTGAGAGCCTGTTGACCCAAGGGATGTCTGAGGACTATAGGGCTCCCTCTCTAAAAGCTCCTAGAGGGGACATTTTCAGAAGCACAGACTGAGCGGCTTCAGCAATTTTCTCCTGCGCAGTAAGCAGAGAAAGATCTCCCTGCTCATAATGTTTCTCCTTTTTTCTGCTCCCCTCTCCCCATCAGTCACCGGTGATTACCATGTATTGTTCACCTTCGACAGGCAGTTTTCCCATCGGAAATGGAGAATACCTTTCTTTAAAGGTGCCTTACTTTCCCTGTTGAAATGAATTGGCCAATTGTCTGACATGCTGAATGCCCGGCCCCTGACACAGAAGTTGCATTCAACTATGTTCAACTTTTCTTGGTCCGTACAAGGAATAAAGACGCTTGATCATTTGGCAAAGGCGAACTCTAAAGCGTCAGGAATCGAATACAACTATCAGACTGCAAGGAGCCCGCTGATCATGTAGCGCTGCGTGTCGCCGCTGGGAGGCTCCACCTTGATCACGTCGGCCCCGTAATCCTTGGTTGCAACCGCAGCGAAACACCAGTGTGATATTCGGAGTTGTCCTCACAACTGACTCCATCCCAAAACCTTGTAGGACCTAGGAACCATAACGCATGACCTTCCACGGAGGCTGCCGCCAATGGCAACCATTCTGCGCAAGCATCTCAAATTGCTGCCAGAGCCTCACCCAGCACTTGTCCGGCAGACGGAGCCTGAAGCCATTGATTACAAATGCCCGCTTAAGAAATGCAGGAAGTTACTGTAGCAGCAAAATCGAAGGGTAGGGTGCCCAGCGGTGTGGGCAATGTCTTCTTTACTCGCCCCCAATGATAAGTTTCTGAGCTTTGGAGCACGCTGAAACCCTTTCAATGACTAAGGTTGTGGGCTGCAGTTCCTGTTTTGTACGGTCCTGGGTCCTGGGCCTCCCAAGACCCTGTAGGGTGAAAGACGTGCTTGCTCTGAACGCTTTAGATTCTTAGATGCCTACAACCAATGAATAAGGATATGTAGGTGGATTGGCACAAACAAAAGATGTCTTAGACGACAGGACAGCCGAGAAATGTAGGCTACCCAATGCTGGGGGAGGGAATCTTTATACTGGAGGTGGTCAGTGCACGACTTTGCTACTTGCCACCCATGCAAAGCGATGGATGGTTGAGATTGTGCTATCAAAACAGTACACGTACCAAGCACTTGGCCTGGTGACAGCATGCTTCAACTGTTGTTGGCAACTTAGGTGTCACTGCCGTCTGACACCACGGGTGTCGCCGGTGCTCCAAGATGCCGACGTTTACAATGAGCCCCGGATCCACAATTGGGCTGAATGAGCTGAGCAGCTGCAATGGCAATAGATAACTCCAGCACGCGCACACCAGACAAAGGAAGAGCGCCAGAGCTGTCCATGGCGCCCGGCTTAGAAAGAAACTTGGGTAACACACAACGTTTCATGACCATTCACAGACATCCAAAATCTGCCGCTTCACGTGTACACTCTTGTTTCAATACCGCTGATACTGGAAATACTGTCAGGGTCTGTCGGACTTCTATGCTTGAACACGTCGTCTGCACAGGATTCCTGCTAGCTGTAAAGTCGAGTCTCCATCACTCAAGGAACAAACTGCAAAAAGATCGGTCCACGGCCCAGCTGATGGAGTAGGACGATTGTGCGCGCGACAGATCACCGCACCCTCTGGAGGAGGCAGGTGCGGCAAAGACCTTGCACAAAAAGACAAAACCAAATCCCAGCATATCCAACCAACTATGCTTCAAGTTTTTTCCCTGCACCCACCGTCCATCAAGAGTTCAACGGTATTTCCCGCACGATTGACTGACTGACTCCTGAATGCACGAATGCCCATGGATCCAGAAAGCAATGCCCCGACTTCAGCCTTCAAACGCGTCAAGCTCTGAAGCAAGATTTGAAACAGGCAGAGGAGGCTGTGGCAGCGTCCGCAATTCGTCTGCTGCATTCTGGCGCTCGAGCGCGCCTGCAGAAGAAACATCGCTCCTTTGCATCTACTTGAGGCTTTATGCGTGAGTTTCCACCGATTATATGCCTTTTTGGGAGCCCAAATCATGAAATGCAGTATTTTGGGATGTATACTGGTTTCTGGAAACGACCATGCATGTCGTATGATGTCTTGGATGCCTCTCTCCGCTGCCGTCAATGGCTTGTTTTCGTCAGGGACCTTGCAAAGTCGCAAGACATTCAGGACAGGGTGTCAAGAAGACTGTGGCACGGGCATAGCTGAAACCGCGTAGTCCTGCTGGACAAGGCCATCTCCTGCGCTGGCAGCTGCTGCGCAGTGCCGCTACCAATTTCCTTCATGGCGAACTGCCCCGGTTTCCAATTCATTTATATTCATTTTCCATTTGATTGTCCATTTGATTCTCCATTCAAGTCAGTCAATCACACCACAGGCGGTGTGTGGACAAAGAGACGGTAAACCGTGTCATGCCAAAATGGGGATTCTGTACAAGTCTGGTTAATTCACGGTGACCGTTCACGAATTGAAATGCCTTGTTTATATTTGTAATCCATTCACTTCTGGGTCGTCCTTACAGAGATGAACGATGAGACGTGCATAGGATGGTCGTGCGGAGATCGCAGCGCTTTCCCAAAAAGCAGTAGTTGCCGTTCAGATAGAATTTGAGTGGCAGCAAAAACTTCTTTGTAACAATTGGCGTAAAATTGCTCGGAACCCACACCCCCAAAAACCAACACTGGGATCCTACCATCAGCACCATCCTGCCGAGCCCAGACCCGTGCAACACAGGCAGTTGGCTTGCACCTGTCATGCACATGGGTGGTTGTCAAAATTATGGTCCCTTTTTGGGTCCCTATTATAATACGGCACCTAATATTTAGGGTACCCAAAAAGGGACCATAATTTTGACAACCACCCACATGGGCTGCAAGACATGAGCATAGAAAGCACAGTCTTCTTCATCGCCTCGTTGCAGCTGGAAGATAGCTCGTGAGGCAGCAGCCTCAAGTCAAGGACGCAGGTTGGCCGCTAGGAACCTAACCCCGATGGCCCTATGGAGGTACCCGAGACCCTGCTCTGAATCACATTGAGATAGCGAACATCTGGGGGTCCTGCCCCAAAATGATGCTGTAGCATCTGCGTGAAGGCTCAGCAGCCTCGAAAAAGCTACAACAGCAAAAATGCAACTGCTGTGCCTTGCAACTGCCTCTGATGGTTCGCCCTTTGCGGCTATGCCGCTATACCATGACTATCTTGGAAGTGAAACACCTGCTCCCCACGTTGGCCACAACTTGTCGTCTATTTGCCTCAGTTAAGTCGGCGGACAAATGCTGTGTGATATGGTTTGCGCATGGCTTTGCACTAGTTTTAGTTAGTTATGCGGTAAGCTACAGGGATTCCTTCAAGACGGCAACGAATGTCAGGAGAAACCAAGCTGTGCAAAGTAGCAGTCAAGCGCCCAGCCCAAAGTGAAGTTCAGATGCAAAACGGCTCTTTGTCCACACAACATCAGATCTTCAGGTGCCACGCCGTTTGACGTGGCATTCTGATAGCTACTGGATCCTAGAGTGCTGTTCAGACTGTCATTGTGAGATAAGTCCGTTTCGTTGAGATGTTTAGACTTGAGATACCTTGCCGCCTCACACTTCTCGGCAGCAGTCAGTCTGCAGCTGCAGGGTTCCCGATTTGCCGCGAAAGTGGTTTCATATTTCTGGGAAGTATGTCCTGACAATCTTCGCACTGACTCGCCTCGCTGCAAGTTGGGAACCCATGCTGCTGCATCACCTGCTCTCAAAGTAGAAAATGAGCTGTATGGGAGGAGCTGAAGCCCTCGCTGCATAGTTGGGCAGGATGATGCAACAGCGACAAAGGTATTTCGAGGAGTCAAGCTAATCACGACATATCACGACCCGAAGAGCGCACATGGCTGTAGCATGTTACACTCTCATCCGGTGCGTGAGACAAGCCATCGACCGACTTCTGGCAACTCTTTTGCAGAGTCGGATGACGCTGTCCTCATTCAACTGTCCTTGCTTTGGGCACAGTGAGCCTTCTTTGCAGGACCTCCAACCATTCCAACCCATCCAACTCGGATACCAACCAACAGCACAACTTACTGATGACGGCGGCGCTTGTCCTAGTTGGATTGGCTTGGCATCAGGCCCTGCCATTGCAAACTGAAAGCTAGATTCAACTTCAGCTGCTCCGGTGCGGGCTCAAATCGTGACTGCGTCCTGCACATGCAAATGGCCCCAGGCAAAATCTGTCGTCCAATCTACTGCAACAGTACGTTCAGCTGCAACTCAGGCAAGGTCCCGGAGGTCTTTCGCATCGAAACTCCTCGGGAAGAAGTGACTAGACAATGCATGCCTGCCTGTGGGCAATGTCCCAACAAAAGAAGCTCTCGCCCCGCCTGTGCACTTCTAGCACGGCGTTTTCTGCCTCAAGTTGAATGACTGTAACACAGACAATCTAAACAATCTGCCACAAACCTCAACCTGACAACAGGCACAGGCAGTCTGAGCGGCCACAAGCCGCAACACTGAAAGCTGACAGCTGCAAATTGTTCACAGCGCCAGTATCACATGACTGGAGCGCAAACTGTGTAACAGCGCAAGAAAACGCTGAAACGTCTCAGAGAGGCACCGCTTGTCGGGCAACATCGTTACAACTCATCTTCAAAAGCCTCAGGAATGAAGGCTCTGCTGCTCTCAAGGCCACTTTGCTAGGCTACTGCGGTGTCTGCGCGCTTGGCCCTGAGCAAGCTCTGGAACCAACTCTCCTCCGCCGCTTCACGGCTGCAGTCTTTGGTCGAGCTTGCAGAATGCCAGTCCTTGCAAGCAAGGGTGAGGGATCAAAAAAGTCTGTAAGCATCACACAAAACATACGTCCAGCGCATCAAAAAAAGCATCAAGAAAAAACTTTTGTACTAATTTTAATACGGGCCAGGACCAAGGGCAAGCATCAAAACAAAACTTACGTCGTTGACGTCGTAGTAGTAGTAGTAGTAGTAGTAGTAGCAGCAGTACTGGTGGTGGTGGTGGTGGTGGTGGTGGTGGTGGTGGTGGTGGTGGTAATAGTGACAACCATTGCAGGAGTAGTAGTGGTCAATGAAAACAAATGGAAAAACATGTAACTATGAAACTATTGTAAAGATTAGCACATGATGAAAAAACGTGAAGAAGGCAGGTAATAGTGAAAATTATGAAAAGTATGAAAACTAATGAAAGTAATGAAAGGTAAATAATATTCATGAAAAATGACAATTTATGAACCATGAAAAGTAATAAGAAAAGATGAAAAAGGAATGATACATACGAAGCGTGATGAAAATGTTGATAAAAACATGGAAATAATGATGAACATTGAGAGAAAATGGTGACACATGCTGAAAATGATGAAAATCATGAAAAACTCATGACAACAATGAAACATGACAAGTATGAAAATGAAAAAGAATGAGAAATGATGGTAAATGATGAATGAAGAATGAGAAAATCATGAGAGTAATGATGACTGATGATAATAGGTGACACATGGTTAAAAACTCAATGAAAAATGATGAAAATGATGACAACAGTCATGAACAGTCATGAAAAGTCATGAAAACATTGAAAATTAACGAAACATGCGGAAAAAATGAAAATTGCAACGAATGTGGAAAATAATGAAAATGACGAATAGATAAAGAGGAAACTGATGAAAAAACATGGAAAAGGTGAATATGACGACAAACGCTTGCGTGAATGTGCTTTGTAAAATGACAGCGGGGGCTGGGGTGGGGGTCGCAGCCCGCCCCCCCGAATTGCAAAACCTGGACACAAATCAGGATACAGTATCTCAGTATGTGCGTGCTTCCGCTAGGTTAATTTGGCAATGTGATATGATTAATGATGAGAAGAGGATGAACATGATCAACAGGGATGGGAATGACAAAACTGCATGAAATTCAATGAAACGATGGAACATGACGGAAACTCATGAAAAAACATTGATATCCTGAAAAAATGTGGCAAAACGTGAAAACAGCGAGAAATCATCACAATGATAACATGAAAAATGATAACAAACTTATGAAAATAATGACAAATCATGCAAAATCATGACACAAAATGGAAAATTTGACAAAAAATGAGCATGAAGGAACAACCCTGCAAAATGATGAAAACACTGGACAATTGAAAGAATATCATGGAATGTCATGACTGATAATCCTGCCTTCCTTCTTTCGTTGCTTCCTTGCTTCCTTCCTTCCTTCTGCAATCTTGTAGCCCCAACAATTGCAAGCAGTACTTCGAATAAGATATAAGAATAACAACCATAGTAGCAATACAAGCAGCAGTAATCATAACATTGAAAGATGCCCATACAATACGACTCTAATGTAATACTAGTACGAGTAACAGTAACACTCAAATATGAAGAGCTCCTCGTAATCGTAATAATAAGTCTATATGACTCACCATTAACGCTCTGGCTTCTTTCTTTCCATCCTGCTTCTTTCCTCTGTTCCCTCCTTCCCTCCTTCCTTCCTTCCTTCCTTCCTTCCCGCCTTCCTTCCTTCCTTCTTTCCTTCCCTCGTTCCTGCCAGGGGACAGGGTCGAAGCCCAAACACAAAAAAAAAAAATCCGGACTGGTGTACTCCCCAAGAAGTAGGCAATAAGTTTTGTTTGACACTTAATCTGTTTTTTGATGCTTAGCGTGTTTTAAACCCCTATCCTGCAAGGCAAGGCATCCAGCAGAAAGACCCGATTGGTCACGCATGCTCGTGCTGCTCTACATGAATGATTCTCTCATTGAAACTATGTAGAACTACAGCTGATGATGTCTGTATCACTAGAAAATCTTGGAGGAAATGGAATGAAGGGAACCTGTAAAATAGGCTAAAGGTGAACAGATCTATAGATAAAAATCCTCAATCACCAGTCCAGTATTGTTGGGGCGCTTGTTTCCTTCACTACATTCATTTGGGAATGACACTAGTGTAGCACCCACAATTCTTGGGCTTTTTGGGCTTTGTTAGCAACCGCAAAAAGGAGAAATGAATGATGTCGCTGGCCCACGGTACCAGACGGCTTATCTGGAGGCTTGGAAATGAAGAGTGAGCTAATGGCGTAAGGAAAATCAGGAAATGACCAGGGCCCAGACATCACTCCTCCGAGAGGTTTTCAATCTCAGGGCCGGCGACTCCACCTGCCGAGGGGGAAAGTCCCCGGTCCAAAGAACCGGCCTGCGCCCGCCTCTGCGCCAGAAAAATTTCGAGGGACGAAGTCCGGTCTTCGAAACTCCAGGCTCAAATTGATGGCAGACTTCATCGCAGCCTGCGAAGCTCTTCACAAAGCCCGTCCCAACCACAAATGTCACAATTTACACCTGCCTTGCAAGCACAAAGATCCGATATGTCTTCTCCGTTTATCCTGGCTGGCAGGTTCTTCGTCCAAACATCCCAAAACGCACTATACCAAACTATCAGCACAACCACATGTTGGCAATTGCCTGAGCAACTCGTCACCGGCATACAGGCCAAGCAAAGGCACAGCCTGCAAAACGACCACAGGCCCTCCTCGGTTCCCATTGAGGCAAGGCACTTTCAACATGGCTAATTGAAACATGACCGCAAGCCACACGTTCATTGAACAGCTTCCACAAAAACTGCCAGCTGCTAGCTGCTAGCAAGTCTCGCAGGCTTGCTGGGTGGTCCTGACTGACCTGCCAACATGTGGAACAAACTGACTGTGTGCATCACGGCTACAGCGAGACAACCTCTTCTTCCTCCTCCGCACAATGCGTACCATCAACATCATCTGAGACCTTGCAGGTAGCAAAAACTGATTACAGCTCAGTTTGTTTTGGGGAACTCAGGATGCTGCATCCCGGTCAGACCAAAAGCTCTCCGTGACGCAAAGCCGGTGGCATTTGGGAGCGGTCAACAGGATGTCCTGGCTTGGCATGGAAGTGTCAAGAAAGACTGCATGAAAGCCAAGGCCCAGATCCACCTCGGAGGCGACGTTCGAGGGCTCAGAGGGCTCGGCTGGCATGCTGACCACTCCCAGAGGAAGGCCGAAAGGCTGCCTCGGCTTTGTGCTGCCCAACGAGCTGCGAGCTGTGCAATAACAGAATTAGCTGCACAAAGCTTGATGACCAAATGCCCAGGCATTTTGCAAGCCATGCAACTTCATGGATGTGCGCTGCATCTGAAGTCGGAAGATGGCACCTAAGGAACGCTCAAACCTGCAAACGGCATGTGTGTCAGTTGTTGCAAGCTGTTTGCGGCCGAGGATGGGACGCTCAAGGGACGTAGCCGTGGAGGCGCTAAGGACCTCTCGCTGCGTCCAGGACTCAGCGCGACACCTGGCAGAGTCATAGAACAGAAATATTCACATTATGTGAGGTCAAAGGCGCTGGTCTGCTGGGGTAATCAACACACGCCAAGGGAAGCCTAGGTTCTGGAGGATTGTAGAAATAATCGCACCACCTTGATCAATGGGTGTCAATGACGTCACGAACACATGTTGCAGGACGAGTCTTGGGACCAAAGCGCTGAGCTTCCTGCACTGGCATCGTTTGTGGGACGCAAATGGCGGGCCCACAGCACATCTCCAAAAAGTCCTCCTGTCGCGGGCGCACAGAGTGAGAAATGCATCAAGCTCTGGAAATGGCCCCTCTTCCATGCAACGCGTCAACGTCAAACAAACTTCCATTCGCCACCCAACTCTGTGGATTTCAGTTTAGCTCGACGGCATCTCCTCCTGCACCAAAGTAGGGATAGGCGGTTCCTGGTCGTGATGTTTGGACACAATTTGGCCTAAACAATACAAGGATGCTCATGTCTGGTAAGCCTTGTGGTAGAACTGGATCTCTAAATCGTGTCCACACGAGTCGAGAATGTCGGCGAAATGCCGAAAATTCTGCACTGATATATCATTGACGCTCAGCACCTGAAAACTTGGAACAAACATCGCGCAATTCGACTCCACACCAAGCAAGCACCTCGTCGCCGGAGTAAATGCCCAAATGACTTGCATCGAGCATTACCACCACATCGCCTCGATTTCCATTGCGCCGGCCATGGAAAGTCTGCAAAAAAACAAATGCTTCTGAGACTCAGGCTTTGGGAACCGGGCCCAACAATGAGATTCAGCTTGTGCTCAGGGCTTGCTCGCCAAATTTGCACTTTGAATCGCCCCGCCAGGCGGCCCACTGGAATTGGAGGGGACACCTTCAATGATTCAAGCTGAAAGCCAACATGCCGCATGGTGGTTGCAAGAGAGTCCCCGTGATGAGGATTACATGCCTTTCTGGAATCTATATTGGGTTCCCCCTACGCCCTGCGATCCATATTTATTCGTGGGCTGCGTGTGCATTGCACGCGGCCTTGAGCAGAGGGAACAGTTCAGGACCATGGTCCTCCACACAAACTATCTCCCCAACAGACCAAGGCTTCCAAGTTAACACCATGTCCTTGTCCAGCCTTTCGGATGTTTGGACCATTTGGTTCAGCCTGGCTACTGTCCGCAGCCAACAAATCGACTTTGAGGATATGCCTATCTTTGAGGGCCTAAGCGCAAATCCGAAGAGGTCATGTAGCATGCGTCCACCAGGTTCCTGGCTTTTCTGCTGCTGGAAGCTGTGGTGAGTCCTGTCCATCAAGAAACATTGGTAAGTTCCGGCTAATTTGGTTGGGGTTATGGGTCCTGCATTGAACCCAGCGCTGGATCCATGCTCAGTCCCTCAACCTGTTCTGCTGCTTCTGCTTGAGCAAACGTCAACAAGAACTTTTCAAACATGACGACCCATGTGAGATTCCACGTGTCCCTTACCATGCCACAAACTTGCACAAATGTCAACATGATGTCCTTCCTCTCTCTTGTTCATGTGGCAGGCATTAAACGCACATGACTCACCACCACATTCACTGAAAGCCAAATGCATGCGGAAGCCAGAACAATGTAACTTGCTGAAACCGTTTTGCAAAAACACCAGGCACATCAAACGGAAGCCACTTTTCCAGTGCCTTCAACGTTCGCTTTCTCAGATTCATCGCGTCGCCTAAAAGTTGTGCGAATTTATGGGCCGCCCCGCCCCCCCCCCTTCGTCTTCAACAAGCCAGCAGCAACCACCGTGATACATTACACCACACTTGATCTTGAGGAGCAAACACCCATTCGCTGCTGCAGCTGCTCCGCCGCTTCTCCTGCCTGCTCAGCAGATTGCTACCCGTGACATTACACGCTTGAGCAAATGTCTAGTCCATCCTGGGCAGCTGCTTGAGATGCTGATGCCACACCCTGCCAAACCAACAAAACGTAATCTCAGCTTCAATCTGGCCCATTTCTGAGAGGACCTGTTCCACCAACGACTGGATGTTGGTGGATGTTGCTCTCCCTTGCAGGTCCGCAGCAGCAGCAGATGCCTGCCGTCCCACTTTCTCGGCGCCACGACTTTACATGCAAAAGCCCTGCTCATGGCCTGAGACATTGCATGCGATGCTGATGCCATGCCCTGCTCTGCTGCTGATTGGAGATTGCTGGAGGCGGACTGGTAGGCCTCCCACGGCTCATGTTGGATGAAGGCAGGCTGCGAGATTCTGCGAGCCTCGGAGTCCTGCACCTGCTGCACAATCTCCATAAAGCGTTGCACGAGACGGTCAAGCTCCTTGCAGGCTTCGTCTGCAATGCGCATCATTCCCCTGAAGTCCAGTCACCGACTCCTCGGTGGTCTGTTGCTTCACAGCTGCAGCGCGAGCCTGAGACGCAAGGATCACATCACTCTCAGAACAGTAGCATGGAAACACATGTCTGGTCACTCCTGCGCATCCTCCACTGCCTTGTGGCCATGCTCCTGTCAAGAAACTGCACCTGGTTAGGAGCGTTCTCCATTCATGCATGCAGACCGACAAACCGGCAGATCCTTCCAGTTGGCGCTGAGCTCCTCCAGATGCATGCTGACATGCTAGGAGTGTGTTGCCCTGACAAATCACTGCGACTTCCACCAGGATCAAGTCAGGAAGCACCACCAAGCTTTGCCAGTACCGGACGCACGAAGTCTGCATTATCCTCTCAGCCCCAGAACACCTTTTGAGAAATCCCAAGGACAGCAGCATGAGATCAACTCCAGCACACAGGGCAGCGACACAAGTGACTCAAGTGAGTCCCCAGTGCCATTGAGGCTTCATTTTGCCTGACTTCTTTTTATTCTGCTTTTGACGCATGGCCTGCTACTCTCCACTGCTGGGGTCCCTGTCCTCCACATCTGCAGCCTCCAAAGTGCGGGCGCCGGCTTCGAATCCCATTGGGTCGCGCGCACCTGTGTTTTCGCTGGGATGCAACCTCCCTAAGACTTCAGGAAATGAATACTTAACATGCTGTACACATGAAGGCTTTAGGAGCTAAAGTTCGCGTGATGGTTTGGTAGCACCGCAACACGCTATCCAACGCTTTGAGAATCCCTCAGACCTATAGCATGAGGAGGGCTTTGACAGCAACAGTTTAAAATGAGCTCGGCACCTACGGTCTCGGCCTCTGCGGCTTGGGCACGGATTGCCTGCAAACAGGGCGCACCAAAACTGATCGCAAACGGGTTGCCAATCCCACGGACCAGACATCGGCAGTGTACAAGGGCCCGCGAGTTCCTGCAACCACCTAGCATGATGGCGTTCGCACCATGCACAAAGAGCAGAGCGGGTGGACGCAACCATCCGGAGCGAAGTTACTGGCATCATGGTGATGCAAGGCTAGTGAACATTACCAAACAGAGAAGGAGACTTGATGCAACACCAACATGCCGTTGTTCGTATCATGCGGAAAACGCCATGCACGGGTAGGGAGGTCGGACGAAGCATGTAGATTGATACTGTTCGTAGCGTGACCAGCATGGGTGGTGAACACTAGAGGACAAGGAGGGAATTTTGATGAAACTGCCCAGCATGAGATTGCCAATGCCATGGTCATGCAAGGGTAACGAACAACACAAAACTAGAGAGGTGCAGAAGGAATAGGGTGACCATGCACGACCAGGCTATCAATAGAGGACACTTGATGGGTGAGCAGAGGCCAACGAAAGCTAGCCAGGTCTTCAGCAATGGCGTACACCAGGAGGAAACAAGGCTGTTGCTGCCAAGAAGCGTGACGACATGCACACAATGACCACGTTAGGGCAGTGGACACCGCAGGAGGACAATGAAGGGTTGATGCAACCCGTCGGTAATTAGTTAACACCACAGAGGGAGTGAGGAGGTTTTAAGTAACTGTGAAACATGACGTCACTTCTATCACGGCCACAAAGGTGTAGTCGGATAGTGGGCAGCACAGGCGGAAAAAAGAGGTTGGATGCCATCGCCCAGCATGATGTTTACCCGCACCATGATCTTGGGGGGGTATTCGACACAGCACAGGGGGGACATTTGTTGCGACAACCAACAACAGGCAATTCAAAGACGACCTTGCAAGGGGACGTTTGATACAACCATCATCCACAATGTCACCTGTACCATGACCATGCGAGGGTTGTAAGAACTACGGGAAGAGAAGGTCCCATGCACCCACCCAGTATGATGGTACTCGTAGCATGACCACACCACGGTAGTTAATACTAGAGAACGAGAAGGGTTATTGACGCAACTACCCAGTATATTGTGACACGCACCACAACCTTGCAGGGGTAGTGAATACTACGGGTGCAATCAGGAGGTTTGATGCAACCAAAAGAGGAAGTAGGAAATTTCAATGCCACTGAACAGCATAATTTGGCTCGTACTACCATCACCACACACACGGGCAGTGACACTAAAAAGGAGCGGGGAGGTGTGATGATGCGACCACCCAGCATGTTGCTACCCGTGTAAGGGTAGTGAACACTACAGTGGGAAGAAGGGCTTGATGCAATCACCAACATGATGCTATTCGAAACATGACCTTACAAGAGAAGCGGGTAGGAGGGTTTGATGCAAGCAACAGGCTGAATGTTCTTCGTACCATGAACATGCACTGGTAACGAGCTCTACAGAGGGAATAGGGAGGCTTTATGCAAAAAAAGCATGATGTTGCCCGTACAACGACAACACAAGGGTAGTAAGAACGGAGGCCTGATGCAACCACCAAGCAGCACGCTTGGTACCAGGACCATGCAAGTGTCCGCAAAACTAAAGGAGTAGGGCGTTGCAACAGCACGCAGTGCCTTACTAACCATGAGCATACAAGGGTGGGGCATTTTCACGAGGATAGGTGCACGGTACGGGTGAAAACTCATTTGGTTCTACATGGGGGCTGTTGCATACAAGAGGCACAAGTATTTGAGACACACGGCATAAACTAGCTTTCTTTGTACTTATGCAGTAAGCCCGGAGGCTGATTGGCTATGGTCATTCAGCCTGTCATCTTACTTTGAAGTGTTGACTTGTAGGGCGGCTGCGGCTGAGCTGTTCGTTCAAAGCGGGTCGTGACGATGCTGTGCCTTGTTCTATAGGAAACCGAAATGTCAGTTCGCGGGTATAAGTGCTGCTTCCCTTCCAAGCGCTCGAAGTGCATCACGGGCTGCTTCCAGCAGCCGATCTGCCAATAGCCGATCTGTTCCAGGCTGTGTATTCCAACCCTTTGGAGTGGTCGTTCCAAATTCGAACATAACCTGTCTGTTCGCTTGGGTCATATTTACCTGCACTAAAGATATGCCCTAGCAGCTTGAGCCTGGGGTTTTCCAGCATTGAGAACAAGGCATTTTAACGTCCACACCATATCTGATGACTCCTTGCCAGAGACTGTCATTTGTTTGAGTCCTAACTATGTGTGTGGGTGGGTGTTTTAAGGATTCTTTAAACTTTTGACTTGGAAAGCATATAGCCTATTCTGTTCGTTTTGAGTCAGCTGTGTACAACATTTTGGATTTTACAGTCGCGGCGAAACCCGCTACCTTCATTTCATAGATAACGCGGTCCTAGCAAACAGTCAATTGCCTCCGCTGACCTCTGTTAGAAGTGAGCCTAGGTATGCCTGTTGTTTAAGTGGTGCCTTGTACCATCTTGATATTTCATAGTAGAAGTGGATCTATGGGTTGTCAGCGTCATGCATTTGTCAGCATTTGTCAACATTGAGTTTCATATTGCAATACCAGAATTCGATGTCAATCTCCGCTAAAATCTTATTTATTGATGGGCTGTGTATGGTTAAAGGAAGCATGACGTCTGCATGCAAGATGTCCGCGAGATGGATTTCTTGACAGAGTTGTCTTTGCTTAGGAGCATGAAACCGTTCATATGCGTTAAAATTCAGTCCTGACAAGAATAAATGAATTCGCGGACACTGAACATCCTTGCCATATGCCGCATTGCTGCGTGAAATGTTCAGCCTCTCTTTCCTTTACACATTGAATCGCGATTCGTCATGAACGTTGCTGATGAATGCTGATAAGTATCGTGGGATTGGAAAATCTTTATAGAACTTCAGTAAGGCGCGACTGATCTATCTAATCAAATTTGTTCCCGATCAAGAATTATTTTTGCCCTGCTGCCCCCAACTTGTTAAGTTTGAGCGACTTTTTTTGTAATCGACGTGCCAGGAACATTGTGCGACTTGTGCTCCCACCTGTTCGCAATCCGTACTGTGTTGATCACCCACGCCCGAACCATGATAATGTTCGCGTTCCCAGTGCATAGGTTGACCAGAGCATCCATGCCTGAACCACAACGACATGCGCGTTGCCAGCACTTTACGATTACCAAAGCATCCATGCCCAAAGCATAATAAATAACCTTGGTTCGATGTCCCAAAGCTCCTGCTACATGGCAATCTATGACAGCAAGTGAGAAAACAGAGGGGTCCGACCCAGACAAATCACTGTGGACCGTAATGACCGCAGCTTCAAACTAGAGTACAGGAGGGATGCATGAGAGCGGGAGGATACGCAGGCCAGTGCTGAGACAACGAGCAAGGGAGGGTACGGAGGAGGAGGCTGCAGTGGCTAGTTCGCCTCTTCAGAGGGAGCGAGAACATGTTCAGGACCCTCTTAGCGCCTGGATGTTCGGATGCCTTGTGAGCTAGCCCCTTGCAGTTCGAATAGAGACTGTAGCCTTTCCATCCTTAGTGTCTCGACTCTTGGTAACCAAGTTTCTCCGTGACAATGTCAGCCAACAACTTTGTAGAAGGATTGCACTAAAGCGACTGGTCGAAATTCTTCCAACTTACTAGCATCACCTCTTTTGTAAATTGGTACGATTATGGCTTAGTGAAGTGATGCTTCAAGAACTCCAGTATCATGTACGCGGCTGATATAAAAAATGCTTGCGGCTATCATCAAGGTATTTGATTCGCCAAGCCCTTGATTGATCTGATCAAGGAGGTTTATTGCTTCCCTGCGTACTGCGTAGCTATAGCATCATCCGGCTCCTCTTTGTTGAATCATCGGTCTTGAACTTTGCCATTACCATTGAAAAGCTCGGGTGTCTGGGCGGTAACATATCCTTGTTGCTTTCCCACTGTATACTGGTGGCGTTTGCGGAACTGTTTGGTGCTGATTGACTGACCATATTCATCTTTGAACTTGGTGACTTGTAGCACTGGTCGAAACCTCAGCATGTTTAAAGCCTGTCCATGAACTTTTGATACAGTATTTCCTGCAATTGCTCAGGCATTTCTTCTGACAGAAGAAATGCCTGATCTGTATGTTTAACTGCACGCTTGGCTTCTCAGCTAAGAGCTCTGGTGCCTCTTCCAAACTGTCTTCTCCAGTTTTTTTGCATCTGTTCTACAAGCTGCCATATTTCAGGTCAAGTGTAAGTCCTTTGCCTGTTCAGTAGGAATCTTGGCCAGAGTTTGCTCTGCAGCAGACTGTAAGAATTCTGCAAGGTGTTCCAGCACTCTTCCAGCTTGTGATTTTCCTTGTAGACGTAACTCTGTTACTTTGTCGTTACTTTGCCTTTGTATTCCGCCGGCTGTGCTGCTGTTGGCTTTCTGTATCGCGGCGGTGGATTGACTGCTTCAATTTTCCTTCTTGCTGGCTCTGTGTTTAGGCTGGTGCGGAGCAACTTGTTATCGGATTCCTTACTTCTATGCTGGGTTGCTGAAATGTCCTTCACAGAGCTTTCCACGACTCGCTCACTAGAATGTAATCGAGCTGCGCGAGCATTTTGGTGTAAGGGGCTGCAAAGCAAGATGTCTCATGTCATCAAATCCCATCCTTTCGGTCCGTTTGAATAAATGTGGAGCTGATAGCTTCTCACATAACTGTCTCCGATGGTGAGTTCCACGAGCATGAATCTGTTTTCTATTTGGTCAGCTGGGAGATCATGCACTGGAAGTTTCAGGCAACAGCCAAGCATTGTTGCTTCTGGCATGACCACACAAGGTAAGCGAACACTACCAAAGGAGACGGGAGGTTTGATGCAACCACCAAGCATAGTGTCACCCACGCCATGACAACGTAAGGGTACAGGAGTAGTAGGGTGATTTCATGCAACCTCCCAGCATGGTTCCACTCGTGCCAGAAGCTAGGAGGTCTGTTGAGACATGATGTAGCAAGTACCATGACCACGCGAAGGTTGTGAACGCAACATAGTGGAGAGGAAGCTTCAATGTAACCACCCAGCATGATGCTACTCGTATCATTACCACACAAGGACCGCGAACACGAGAGCGGGTAGGGAGGTTTGATGGAACGACCAGCCTGGTCTTATCGACTTTGTGAGGTTGCAAAGGCAATGGGGCAGCAAGAAGGTTTGATGAAACCAGCATCATCAAGTATTTCGTATCCTGGCCTTGTTAGGGTCAGGAACACTACTGAGGGAGTAAGAGAAGTTTGATGTTGCCATCAAGTCTTATGTCATGTGTATCAGGACCAGGCATGGGCGACTTTGAGAGTACGAAGAGCAAGTATAGGGAGCTTTGATGCCACAACCAAAAATAAGTAAGTCAAGTGACCCATAAGCGAACATGTGACTTCATCAGCACATCCCTCCCATAGTTATCTTTCAAAGAACCAATATTGATCCCCTCCAAAGGTGGTATTCCTGTGGAAGAATCAAAATCGCCCCTAGTGAGGCTACAATCAATAGCTCGCAGCTTTCTGGAGCTTGTCTGCCCACTGACACTGCTAAAGCAAAATGCAACTCAAGTCAGCAAGCTAGATTTCGTGACTACATGAAGAGTAGGGAAATTTCGAGCAATACCAGCACATATTCGTATCATGACCATGTATGTACGTGTGGCGGTGGCGATGGAAGTAAGGAGGATTGACGCAAACACTTGCACGATGTTTTTTCGTATCATGCCCATACACAGGCAGTGAACACCACAGAACGGAGCGAGGAGGCTTAAAGCAGCACCAGAGCGAAACACTACAGAGGGGCTAGGGAGGTTTGATGCAACCACCAAGCATGAAGCTCCTCGTACCATGCTCGTGCAAATGTAATGAGTGGAGCAGGTGAGTTAACCAACCCATGAGCACATCCCCACCCATAGAAAGTAAATATGGATATGTTAGTTTCGTCAGCCCCCGCGGCGCTGCTGTTCCTGTGAAAGAACCACTGCAACCTTCCCATTCAAGAAGCTCAGATTCCTGCCAAACAATCACTTTCAACCCCACCGCCTGTCACAGAATTAATGGCTTACTGGTTTCCAAACCTTGTCCGACACTAGTGCTAAAGCAGGCAACCAGCTCAACCCTAGCATCGCTAGCTGCCACTAGCTTTCCCAAGAAGGCTCTAACCTGAAATCCTTGGCTTTGCATCATCTTCCTGAACAAGAGAAAGCTTGAAAACATCCCTGGTTTTGAATCTTGGGGCACAACAAAGCAAGGCAGGAACACCAAGATACACCAAGGCAATGACAATGAGCAATTAAAGCAATGAGCCAATAAAGGCAACCATGCAAAGGCAAGAACGCCTAGGCAGCAACATTGCCTTTTCCCATCCAAATTCCCATCCAAAGAAGAAAGAAACAAATACCATCGCAGGGCTTACCCAATCCCTGACAACACCTGAAAATGCGGGACCTCCACCTCTGCAACTCGTGAAGCAATCTGTGTCTCCAGAGAAGTAAGTTGGCTCTGCAGCTCTGCTTTTTCCTGCCAGATAGCCAGTGCTTTCACGAAGCTGCCAAAACACCCTGCTGACAGCTTGGCAATACCCCACTGGGCCTTCTCCAAGGCAACCTTGTCAGCCTCTGCGATTGAAAGTTTTGCCCCCAAAGTCTCAGAACCTGGGAATGCCAATGGGCTGCAACGGCAACAGACCAGACCCTGTGCAAATCGCGAGGCGTCTCCACATCCTTCAATACAACTCAAGCCAGCGCATGTCTTGAAACCTTTTCTTGGCTTCCCGTCTGCTCACATGTCTTTTACAGAGAGTGCATCTGGCGCCCTCTCAGAATGCAAACCTGTACAGCGAATGCGTGCAAGGCATGCTACACAATATGATTTCGTGCATTAGGCGCATCTGCACCCTGCCACTGTACATGCCTAGGATCCAGGTCATCAAACGCCACAACAATTCTGACCAGTGAAAGGCTTTGTGGGCTCCATGGCGAGTTCACAAGGCTTTGGGACGGCGCATTGCGGGCTGATAGGCCGGCTTGCGCGTCTGCACCTCGAGCCCTGATGAGTCAAATGTAACACGACCAGACGGTCAAAATGCAAATGTTGCAGAGTAGCTGAATGACAGATGCGGTGACAAATGCAGGGCTCTGACACCTTTTTTTATCTTTTTTTGCAGCTGGTCGCGCAGTCAAATCTGAGCTAGCTCCAGCAGGTCATTTGTCATATTATTGCAAGACCCATGCTTTGCTAGGGTCAAGTTTCTATGTGCCCACACCCCTCAGGCTTCAGCCTTCTTGCCCCAGGAATCGACTATTAGGGTGACGCCTTCGAAGAAGGAGCCGTTCAATGCCTGGGTGGCGGCAGTTGCATCCTCGCTAGACTTGAAAGCTGCTCCTCCACTGCCGTTCCTGGCAACTTCTGCGTAGAGGCAGACAGACCCTGCGCTGGACATGTGAGCCTTGAGTCTCTTGTTGAGATCGACGCTGCAATTGTCTGGTGGCAAGCCGCCAATGTACACCTTCCGGTCATTGGTGAAGCTTCTGAGGCCTCCTCCCTTTCCGAAGCCCTTCATCATGTTGAACATGGGCCAAGCGCCGTAGCCACCCCAGTCACCCCCACCACCGCCATATGAGTCATAGCCCTTGCCACCGCAGCCACCGCCGTAGCCCTTGCCACATCCTCCGCCGTTGAAGCTTTTGCCACCGCATGCGCCTCCTTTGCTACCATAACCTTTGTCGTAGGGACTGTAGCCAGCTCCGCACCCGCCTCCTCCAAAGCTGCTACATCCCCCACCACCTTTGCCGTAGCTTCCGCCCCAATCCTTTCCTCCGCCCCAGTCTTTGCCACCGCCCATCTTGCCACCACCACCAAAATCTTTGCCGCCACCAAATCCCCCACCAAAGCCCCCACCACTGCTCCAGTCTTTGCCGCCGCCCATCTTGCCGCCACCACCCCAATCCTTCCCACCGCCAGCACCCCAGTCTTTCCCGCAGCCGCCCCAGCCCATTGTGAAGGCAACGTCCTAAATTTAGACCTAACTGCTACTGAAAAAGCCGCAGGAAATACAACAAAGCTGCAAGCCTGCGCAGTGGTCTGTCGAAGGAAGGACCGTCAGGCTCAAAGGTTCTAACCGAGATTTTGATCGTCCGCAGACTGGTTGGCTTGTTCTTGGTGCTGCTCTGCCGACTTTTGTGGCAGGAGCTTCCCAGAAAGCCTAAGACTAAACAACTTGCAGCGCCCAACTTCTGTGGACTTGTCTTATGTACACCACATACCACACAACCGAGGATCGACAGGGAGAGTGGGGCCACCATGTGCCATCTAGAGCTAAAGTTCTGACCTTTGCGCGCCTTGGGACAGCAGACCTTGGCTCAAAGCTTCGTGCAGAACTAGCTGGTAAGTAAGGGCGCCGAATACAGAAAGCTGCAAATTAGTGCTGCCTAGCTTCCTCTGGACCTGCAGCCACAACGATACTACAAGCAGCACGCTGCAGGCATCCCTGTTCTGCAGGCAAGTTGCTCAAGGTACTGCTGCATCTGCACGAGAGCATTGGTTCCGATGAAGCTCTGAGCCGGCTCCTGGCAGCCCGCAGGAAAGCCCAGGCTTCACTGCGCTACCTTCGCCTCGCCTTCTGCCCCGACTCAATGAAGAAGAGAGTCGGGTATCCCTGCCAGAGGCTCCCTCTTTGGTCTCTCCATGCTTAAACACTATGACCGTGAGCCAGGCCTTCACTTCAAATCCACTTAGTGGCAGGTCATTTGCTTGGCCGTCCATCTTGGCGACAACGATGTCCTCCCTATGGCCTATCCCCGATGCGAAGGAATCAAACCTCGAGCACCGAAGCGCTTAACACCAGCCATGTCTGTCTCACTACCTGCTCAGGCATGCACTGGGGCAGCATGTTCTGGCAGTGCGGGCACCCTTTTGCCTTAGCTGGAGTAAACGCTCAACACTCAGCAGTGAGGCCGCTGCCTATGAAACCTACATGCCAGCTTTATGCGCGGCTAGTGGCCCAAAGCGGACAATGTGGCATCAACGGAGCATTTTGTCAAACAAGTCAACTCTGAAGGGCGGCGCTTGTGTGAAAAAGCCCTCCGAGCTTGGCTCTAGCATTGACATCCTACAGCGATGAGAGGCAAAACGAACCCAACCCACGCACGAATAGAACCCACGCGTTCTCTCTTGCTGCTCGACAGGTGTAGCCTGGTGTAGCTCGGATTTTGGACCTGGGAGCTTCAATTGGGACTTGCCTGTCTCGGGCAGTGCGGCGCCTGAGAAAAGGAAATGAATACACGAGATACTTCCGAACCGATACCCTGCGATGAAGCATGGTCTCCTTCGATCTTGTCTATCCAGCAATCTCACAAAAATTGGAGGCCGTACTCAGCCTACATGTGCAATTTCATGCCGCAGCGAGTTCCCAAATGTATTTTTCTCTGTAGACCCGTCAGTGTCACTGAGCCTCTTGCAACATGGTTGTCTTGCAACGTGAGTTTTGGAACGAAGTGCTTGGACCAAAAAAGCGGATCACGACTTCACTTCCAACGCCCTGCAGCATTAGAAAGAAAAGCAACTGTCTCTGCATGCTTTGCAGGGAAAGGGACATACACCATGAGGATGCTGTTGCGGCTGTCGCTGAAGACCGTCTGAAAAAAGTTTCTGAGTACCACCGTCAGGACCGGAGACGTCTGGTGAGACGGGACGTCCTCAGACCACGGCATGTTTCAACTGAGGTCATGCTCTGCAATGTGTGACCATTGCATTTCAGGCTGCCAAGAACGTGAACCACGCATGCTTCATAGTGTCACACATGCTGATTCACTCGAACCCGCTACTACAGAAAGTGACTTTTACCAACTAGGACCTAGTAACTAGGACCGTTCGCACGTCGACTCATAAAAACGACCTGGCTACTGGGCTACTGTTGAATGGACAAGGTGCAATCGTGATCATGCTTGGTGGTTGCATGAACTTCTGAGCCCTCGTACACCGCCGAAGCCTGCTTAACTAGACTGGCAACCCTTTCACGATCAGTTTCAGCGATACCTTTCCTGACGGAAAGTTGCACACCATTAATGAATTCAATCATTGCCTTTCTATGCAGGCCCAAACGGTCGCAAAGCCAAGGCTTTGCCCGCGCAGTCCTCTGATTTGAACTGGTCCAGCAGCTTGTCAATGCCGGTGCCTGCACTAGCCTGCACAGGGTGCGTAACTGTGCAACCCAGACTACAAGATTCAGTTCTCTTCCTTTTTGCATCAGGACCTCATTACTGCCTGGATCCGCACCCACCAACATGCTTGACATGAGGCACGCGCTGGTTCAGTTCTCTTCCTGATTTGGGAACGTGCCGGGAGTGTCCTTCCTACCTTTTTCTTACCACGCCTTGTCCGGCTCTAAAACTTTTGGAGCCTAGAATGGCATAGCTCATCAAACAGGAAACCCAAATTGGTACCATATGGACCCGTATGGACATCTGTGCGGCGATGACTTTAGCAAACCTTGGTTTGGCAACATGGACCTGCTTGTCTGGTTTGGCATTGCCCCGGACGGGCACTCCGTCTCTGCGCACAACATTCAACAAGCCCTCAGCACTTCGTTCAGAAAGCTTGCGGATGTCCGATGAGCCAGGCGACAAATAAAAAATTGTCGGGTAGCCTGTGTACTCAAAGCCGCCATACGGAATCCCGTTTGCATTTCCGTTAAGCTTCAACACCACAATGTCCCTACCCTCATCTGACATTTGCCTGGCAAATTTCTCATACTCGGGCGCAAGTTTCTTGCAGTGACCACACCATGGAGCGTAAACCTCCAGCATGACATGCTGGCCCTTGTCCAAAGGATCGAAGACCATTTCCCGAAAGTTGGAGCCAACAACAGTCTTCACAGGCTCAGACTGGCTAGCGGGCGGCGGCTCGGACTTGACGAACTGCTCGGCAAGCCAAATTCCTAAAGAATCGCTGGAGTATGGCTCGTCAGCGTCGTGCGCAACATACGTTGACCTCTTCTTGGCCGTGCCCGGCCACAGAAGCACCAGGCTGCCGTCATCCTGTTATGGCAGATACCAGGGGTAAGTGCCGCCTGTTGTTTTGCCTTGTCAGAAAAAACCACAAATAAAATGATTACTGGCATGCTGCCACAGGACGCTGGAAATCTTCAGCTTGGCAAGCCTGGCATGCGTTCGCCAGTCCGAAGCAGCTTCTTCCACTGCCTTGTACTTCGTTGTGTTGGCCCCTTGCCAAAGGAGAATGGCCTTCTGACGCGACTTCACAAGAGCCCAAGCCTCCTGACAGAGTTCACGTCATCATGCATGCCAGACACGGAGGACGTGTCTTGTTCTAACTCTGGTTCTACAGACATGTCGAACAAATGCTGACGTTCGGTCGCAATCCTCTCCTCAGTTGTGGAGGAAAATTACCAGAAGCACGTGTGACAGGGACCTCGGACCTATTGGTGCAAATTGGTGAAGCAGAAAATCATGCGTTAATCGGTGCGCTCCGCAAAGAAAGCAAGAAAATCGGCCACGATGTGATGTGTCGCCGCCATCAAACTGCATGAATAACTGCAAGCATGATACCAGAATGCATCGACCAAATCTAGTGCCCCCAACAGCTGTTCAACTTCGTGGGAAACAAGACGGAACTCTTACAGGAAACGGACAAGCTT